GACAGAACCAGTCCACCGGACCTCCTGAATGCCACGGAGGTCAAGGCGGTACCGGTCCGGTTCCCGACAGAGGAGTGCCAGCCTTCTCAGCCTCAAGTGAGCGTTCAAACATTCCACGTGACCACCCGCAGTGGCTTTTTTCGTTTCTGAAGGAACCCCGAGGGTGCGGTTTCGGTCTCCTGGCTCCGCCAAATGGAGTTTGGCCAGAAAACGTCACAGACGCCCGTCTCCCCGGGGCCTCCGACAACACGCTTGGTTTGATCTTTCATTCGTCGTGTTTATGGTAATTTTATTTGAAAGTAGAGAGGCCACCAGCCCCTCGCACCCGCCCGTTTGGTATCGGCCTTCCGCCCATCGCATTGCTCGCTGCGTCGCTCGCAGCCACGATGGCGTTTCTGACCGACACCACATCGAGGCGATGAGGGTTGTTGTTTTGTTGTTGCTGGCGGTGAGGGTTGTTGTTTTGTTTTGTTGTTGCTGGCGGTCAGGGCTGTTGTTTTATTTAGTTGTTGCTGCACCCAGTGCGCGATGCGCGTGTGTCCACGGCAAGGCGATTTAGTGAGCGGGACGGACAGAGGTGAACAAGACCGGCAGACGGGCGGACATGCCCACGGATTAGACGGGCGAGCAAAATAGACAGACGGACAGAGATACGGTCATACGGGCAGACAGACAGAAGGACGGAGAGATAGACAGGCAGACGTATAGATAGATAGATAGGCAGACATACATACAGACGGACGGACAGATAGATCTATGGACAGACGGACATACAAACATGCAGACGGAAAGATAGATAGGCACGGACGGACATGCACATGCATAGACAGACGGGCAGAGAAAACAAACGGTGATACAGGCAAGGCAATATATAGATAGGCAGACAGGCAGATGAATGGACTGCGGGGCAGCTTGACTGACGGATATAATAAAAATAATAATAGTTGCCTTTTATTACAGAGTGAAATCCTGTGATTGAAAATCGATTTCGCGTTAGAGCTCTTGGAACCGTGCACGAGTTCACTTGATCGCCACGTTCAGTGTTTACTTCTCAACACGCAAAGCATACACCCTGTGCGTGTGTGCGATAGCCTGTGTGTCAGCCTGTATGTGTGCGTCAGCCTGTGTCAGCCTGTGTCAGCCTGTATGTCAGCCTGTATGTGCGCGTCAGCCTGTGTCAATCTTGTCTGTCAGCTTGTGTCTGTGTGTCAGCCTGTATGTGCGTCAGCCTGGGTGTGCTTCAGCCTGTGTGTGTCAGCCTGTGTTCGATTCCCGCTCACGGCCAACCCCAGTGACGGTTATCTAAACCGGTCCTGGACCTCCCCTAGGTTGACTCAGCCTCAAAGGAATACCTGGTGCTGTGTAAACATCGCCACTGGGGAGACAAAGGCGGTCGGGCGTGGGGCTGGCCACCCACCTCCTCGTATGCCGTATCAGCCTTCATAGATGCTCGCTATTAGCACCTGCCCCAACAGTCTGTTAAGGCTATACAGGGGATCTTTTTCTTGTGTGGGTGAGCAGTTGGGCAGTGGTTAGCGCAATGCGCTACGCACTCCAAGCGATCAGCCGAGTTCGATTCCCGCTCACGGACGGTGACGAATATCCGAACCGGTCCTGGGCATCCCACCTCCACCCCACCGCCCCCACTAGGTCCGGTGTGTTAAAAAACGTTGGTCCTGGGGAGACGAAGGCGGCCCGGTGTGGGTCCGGCCACACCACCTCCCACTCCTCATTAGGTGCGCCGTTCGGGCCTTCAATAATAGATGCTCGTGGACAGCCCTTGGCCCCGACAACCGGTGAAAGGAATGCACGGGGATCTTAGCACGGTTGGCTACGTACGGTGCGAAAGAAGTTCAGCATACATACGTACTGCCCATAGACTAGCACTCCCCATGGACTCAACACTCCACCTCCGATTAGCACGTTTGGCTACGTACGGTGCGAAAGAAGTTCAACGTACACACATCGTTGTTGCCGCTGAATGTGCCATGGGAGTCGTTGTGTCCCAGGCCCGTGTGTACCCCGCGCGCATGCAAACAACACACGCGCGCATCCCCTTCCTCCATCGCCTTGATTAATTTGCTATTGCCAGAGCTCGGGACCCATTAATGGGATTGGCTCCTTTAATTACTCACCGATTTCTGATCAGACGTGGATCGATAGCTGAGTGCCCGAAACGTGAAGCAGTTTCCTAATGCGGGCCCGCTGGACGCGCGCGCAACTTGAACGCTGTCGAGTTTTACACGAAAGGCAAAGTTCCCCGTGTAGCCCTCGCAGGGATGGTGGGGCAGGTGCCATCAGCGAGCGCCGATTGAAGATGGCACGGCGCGCGACGGTGATGGATGGGCCAGCACCACGCCTCTGACCGCCCTTGTCTTAAGGCTGAGTCGAACTAGAGGTTGAGTCGAACTAGAGGTAGGTACAGAACCGGTTCAGATATTCATCATGGATGTCGGTTGGCTGTTAGTGGGAACGACAACCTTGCTCCCACCAACAATCACGCCACCGCCAGCCACACCAACAACCGCACCACGACCAACCACCATCAGTTACACCAACAACAACAAGCACACCACCATCTGCCACACCAACAACCACACCACCATCAGCCACACCACCAACAACGCGAACATCAACAATGAACGCAAGCAATTACAGCCGCTGTCGGGGCTCTGCATGGGATCGCTGACTCGGCAACCACCAGCCCCACCCCCCATCGCTTCCCCCAATCCGCCGCCCCTGGCCACAACACAGCCCCCCACAACCACCCCCCACCACCACCCCCTCCCCGCCCCCACCACCACCCCATCGCCCCCCACCCACCCACCCACATCTATCCTTCAGCTGGCGTCTCCCTTCAACACAATTAGGAAGGGCTATTATGTCCTTAATTAACCACAGACCCCCCCCCGCCCCAGAAACGGGGGGGGGGGGGCAGTGCTGTCCGCAATAGATGCAAGAAAATGGAAGATTGGTGGCAGGGGACGAGTCAAGGGGTGGGAGAAAAATGTCTTTTTGTTGTCCAGGCTGTGTCGTTAATTAGCGTTTTCACCATACTTCACCAGTCTGGTCAAGTGCGGGTTGGATAAAACGGTGGTGCGGGGGGGGGAGTACCAGTTCAGATATCGCTCGCCACTGATGTTGATGTTACTATAGGAGAGCCGGAGAATCGAACCGAGGTTGCTAGGTTATTCTCTTCTTCCATGTACGATATAAAACTACCAACAATTGTTTATTTTACCAGGTAAGGCCCACTGAGCGATTACTCTATAGCTCCTTTTCAGAAGCGACCTGGCCACAAATGATGACTCAACAAAGTGGCTTATCAACAGGGAAATTATAGCAGCCAAGAACTCTAAACGCGTGATGTTGATTCTAAATGTGGAAGGCTAAAGCGGAGAACCCGGAGAAAAATCTACACGACCGCGAGGAGAACATGTAAGCTCCAAATGTACAGCAGCAGGCGTCAGGGTCGGGGTTCAACCAACGACCTCCTGCATACCAGGCGAGGTAGTTAACATCTCACTAACCACTGGCACTGAATTGGACCCACTCCGGCCCGCGATTCCTCGCGACGCGGCCTCGCGACGCGGCCTCGCGACGCGGCCTCGCGACGCGGCCTCGCGACGCGGCCTCGCGACGCGGCCTCGCGACGCGGCCTCGCGACGCGGCCTCGCGACGCGGCCTCGCGACGCGGCCTCGCGACGCGGCCTCGCGACGCGGCCTCGCGACGCGGCCTCGCGACGCGGCCTCGCGACGCGGCCTCGCGACGCGGCCTCGCGACGCGGCCTCGCGACGCGGCCTCGCGACGCGGCCTCGCGACGCGGCCTCGCGACGCGGCCTCGCGACGCGGCCTCGCGACGCGGCCTCGCGACGCGGCCTCGCGACGCGGCCTCGCGACGCGGCCTCGCGACGCGGCCTCGCGACGCGGCCTCGCGACGCGGCCTCGCGACGCGGCCTCGCGACGCGGCCTCGCGCGGGTGGTTCAACTAAAAGGAGCGCAAGCCGGTGCGGCTGTGATCCAGCAGGCTAGGGTTGGTGGATCGCGGAAATAGTGTTGGTGGGGTTTTCTCCGGCCAGAGGAATGGGAAATTTCCACCACTGGCTCAGGCAATGAGCCACAGTCAATCGCCCCCCTTCCCTCGCTCGACCGCGCGCACAGCATGCTCCACGCTGAGCGATCTTGCCCGATCGCGTACAAGTCGTTACTCGCTGCTCGTGCCTGATGATTGCTAAACATGTCTCGATTGGCAACATGCTGCACCGTGGAACGTGAATGTTGTGTGCAGCCTGTGCGTGTGTTAGTGCCTGCGTCCGCTGGGTCATGCAGCCCGCATGCCCAGCCCCCGTATGCCCAAGCAGCTTCTTTTCGGCTGGATAGATGAGGCTAAACGGGCACGACACGGGCACGACACGGGCTGGAAAAGAGATGGGCTGATGCGGTACAGGATGATGTGGAGCTGAGTGGACTTGCCGAAGGCTGGTCTAAGCGGTGTTAAGATCGGCCTCTATGGAGGAGGCTCGTGAAGGACGCTAGTGGCCAGTTGGAGGCAGTTGACCTCCAACAACAACAGACGAAAGACAAGCAACGTTCACAAAAACGAGCGGCGCGCCAGGCAGATAAAGTGCATTGTGGAGCACAGGTGATCCATCTGCCAGTTATCTTAGTCAGTCAACCCATGACACCTGGGTCTGTCCCGTGACCTCCTGCCAGCGAGCCATCGACACTTCGTGTGGACTCAGTGCACCTAGCCTGGCACAAGCGCTGTGATGTAACCGCCACTTAGCGGCGAATGGCAGCCGTTGCACCACACACTCAACAGTGCAGTTGAAAAAAATAATTTATTCGTGAAAAACTGGGAGACGGCACCACGTACATGCACACAAAGGCAGGCACAAAGACAAAGACCCCCGTATAGCCTTAACAGACCTTTGAGGAAAGTGCTGTTAGCGAGCACCTATGAAGGCTGACACTGCACACGAGGGGGTGGGTGGCCAGCACCAAGCCCCTCCGCCTTTGTCTCACCAGTGGCGATGTTTACACACGGCACCGGAACCGATTCAGATAATCATCACCGGTGTTGGCCGTGAGCGGGAATCGAACCCGAGTCGCCGGGTTTGTAGTCCAACCCACGAACCGCTGTGCCATACGCAAGTGCACACGCTTTTCCCCGGCGCCACCGCCGCTAAACCAGAACCACCGAATAACAGACGCAAACACGCAAACCGACACGCAAATCGCTAAAAAACGATTCTCAACACGTCGCAAGATCCCTTCCGATGCGCGCAGGACACAAGCGCGGGCGTCGATTTGAGAAGCGACGAACCGACGACGTCGTCGCCGCCTCGCTCAGTAGCAGTCGGCGCCGTCGAGCAGGGCGCCGTCGCTCGAGGCGAGGATGTCTCGCAGCAGCGAGGCCGGGCCGCTCTGCACGTAGTCGCTGCGCCTCTCCAGCTCGTCGCGCAGCGCCGGCAGGTCCAGCCGGCGCAGGTCGTCCGTCGCATCGGCCGACGCGTCCCCTCCGTCTTCCGCGTCCCCGCCGGCGCCGCCGGCTCCCCCCCGACGCGGCAAGACGCCGGCGTCGGCCAGCGCCATGAGCGCCGCGCAGGCCTTGCTGGCGGCCGGCCGGTCGCAATCGCGCAAGGCCGCCACCAGCACCGCCAGCGCCGGCGCCGGTCCGCCCGCCGCCGGACCGACCGGCTCACGCGCCAGCAGCGTGGCCGCCGCCTCCCAGAACTCCAGCGCGTTCACCTTGACCTCCCAGTCGGGGTCGCGGGCGGCGGCGCGCAGGGCGGCGCCGGCGGGGCCCGTCCGCGCCGGCGGGGCGGAGGCCAGCGCCAGCAGCGGCGCCCGCAGCGAGCCGCCGGCGCGCAGGCACGCGGTGAGGACCCGGCAGGCGGCGCGGCGCGGGAAGCACTCGACGTCGCCGGAAAGGACGTCGCACAAGCGGCCGAGGACGTCGTCCTGCGGGGGCGCGGGCGGGGCAGAGCGACAGGATGGCAGAGACGGTCGCGAGGGGCGAATGTCACCACGGCGGCCGCGTGGATATTCCCGGTGGAAACACGCATCCAAGCACCGCTATCCAGGCTCAATTTATACCAATAATAATTGACATTTATTTGTAAGGCGCCTTCCACTGTCTCAAGGTGCCATTGCCGCCACCACCACCACCACCACGAGCCACGCTCCTCCCTCTGTGGGCCAGGGGTGGAAGGCGAATCGGGGCGACCGCCCCGGGCCCCGCGTTTTGGGGGCGGGGGGGGGGGGGCCCGCTCTTCGGCGTCACGGTGTCAGATGTAATACTGCCGGTTACATTTGAAGGCGGTGGAGGGGGGGGGGGGGCCCACACGGTGGAATTTGCCCCGGTATCCGCAATACCGCCCCCCCCTCCCCACCCCCCCCTAGGACGGCCCTGTCTGTGGGAACCCTGCCTCTCAAGTGCTGTGGAATTGCCAACCATGGGCCAGTCACCCAGTGACTGCACACACAAATCAAAAAGGCGTCAGGTGGATTCCTGCCAAAAATAAGCAGAGGAGGCGGCGCTCGTCCCCTGTTCATAATCGCGAGCCAGTGGTGGGAATTCCACATTCCTGTGGCGGGGGCGAGTCTTTCACAAGGACAACCACTGTTGTTGACTTCCCCACAAAGCGGAACTATAATTTTACCGACCCTGGAGGGATGACGATGGGGCCGAGTCAACCCAGCCCAACCAGAATTGAACCCTCGAACTACCGATTTGCAGCCACTCGCCCTGCCGCCGAGCCAACAACAACTAAATAAATAAACAAGCGAATAACAGCGGGATGATGAATGCAGCGTGTCGCCGTGGCGACCAAGGAAGGAGAGTGGGGGCGTGCGTGCGGGGGGGGGGGGGGGAGTGGTCGGAGGGGGGGGGGGGGTGCCGTGCGAGCGTCGTTCACCTCCGTCAGGTGAAGGGTGGCCAGAGCGCGGGCCCAGGCGGCGCCATCGCCGCCCAGCGCCATCGCCCCCAACGCCGCGACGGCGCTCGCGCGCACGTAGGCCTGCGCGTCCGACAGCCGGTCCCACGCGGCGCCGGCGTGCAGCCCGTGCCGCGCCAGCCACGGCGCCAACGCCGACCCCGGGGCTGCTGCGGGGGAGAGGCGAGGCGGCGGCGTGGGGAAGGATGGGGATGGGATTTGGGGGGAGGGCGGAGGAGATATGTTGTGGGGTGGGGGCGGGGGGGGAACGGGGGGGGCGGGGGTGTGAGTTGGTGACCGCTGGACCCTGGTGGGCGTTGGCGAGAGTTTGCGGCGTCAGCAGCAGCAGCAGCAGCTAGCGCCCCGCGGTGATAAACAGCGTGATTTATTGAACCGCTCCTGTGCGGACAATGCGAGAGATCGGCCAATGAGCACGGGCGGACGCCGCACACACTCACCCCACACGTACACACGCACACACATACACGCGTGGGCGCGCACACACACGGAGACAACGATTCCCCCCCTACCCCTAGAGCTGTACAGACAGATGGGGCAAGCGCAGTTAGCGAGCACCTGTTCAGGCCGACGTGCAGTACGATGGGTTTGTGCGTGGCCAGAACCACGCCCGGCCGCCTTTGTCTCCCCAGTGCTGCTGTTTGCAAGCTGCGCCGGGTGCTCATTCAAGGCTATGTTGACCTAGGTGGAGGCCCCAGACCGGTGTGGATATTGCTCGCCACCGATGTTTGCCCGTGGCCAGGAATCGAACCGAGGTGTCGCCGGGTTCACCGCTAAGTGCCAGCGATGTCACCACAGTGCTTGTGCCAGACTAGGTTCATCCCATAGATACCCCCCACTTGCTCAGTCACTTATCCACTCACACACTCGCTCTTTCACTCACCTGCTCTCACCCACTAATTGCATCCCTCATTCGTGCACTCAACTCATCCACTTGCTTACCCACCCACCAACGCACTGCCTCCCTCACTCACCCACTCAACCATCCACTCACCAACTCATTCACTACACCCCTCACTCACCCACCTACCAACCCACTCATTCACTCCCTCCCTCACCCAACAACTCATTCACTCCCTCACTCACCCACCCACTTACTACACCCCTCACTCACACACCTATCCACCTACTCATACACTACCCCACTCGCTTGCTCATCCGCTCGCTCGCTCGCTCGCACGCTGACATGCTTGCGCTCGATGAGCCACGCATGGAGCAGACGGTGGCGGATGCGCGCCAGAGGGGAGGCCTCACCGCGGGGACTCGCCGAGACCCCGGCCGCCAGGAACTCGAGCGACGAGTCGCGTACCTCCCAGCGGCTGTCCTCCAGGCGCAGCGCCAGCACGCGGACCAGAGCTGGCGGTACGGCACGGTGTGGGTACACGGGGGTTGGGAGCAACGCGGGGGGGGGGGGGTTAGAGGTCTTGCGGCGGTGCGGTTGTCGGGAGAGGGGGGTGATGAGTGGGGGGCGGCGATGGTTATCCACACGCACACAAAGATAAAGATCCCTTGTGCAGCCTGAACAGGCTGTCGGGGCAAAGTGCTGTTAGCGAACGCCTGCGAAGGACGGCACGGTGCCTGGCCGGTCACATCTGTCTGCCCAGTTTGACGCACCGCACCTGGTATTTGCTTAAGGCCGAGTCGACCTAGGGGAGACCTTGGACCAGTTGTGATACCTTGTGTCACCTGTGTATGTTCACTACTCCACGTGTTCTTGTTCCCGCTTCTCGGTGATGGCCATTGGTGTTTGTCGGAAAGGTCGATGCGGTTGGAGTTACGGTGCGGTTGCCTGATCTCAACCGCCCAACCACCAAATCCCCTTTCGTGTCCAAACAAATGGTAATTAGCTCAAGGATCGACCCAGGTCGTCATCAGCCATGCTCAATCGACTGCCGGATGAGGGCCTCCCTCACGGTCCCGCGATGCAAAGATCCACCCCAGCACCCGCAACCCGCACGCGAGCTAAATGTCAGTCGCTCCCTCTCCCGCGGCGGGCATCTCCTTGGGTATGCGTTTGAGCCACGCCTGCCATGCACAGGAGGCTTGCAGTCTCGGTGGGATTTACATCCCAGGGTTCGATGAATAGGGGATCGACCAGCGGTGAAAGGATCCGCACGCTGGACTTGCAATCCAGAGACCACCGTCTCACACCCCCCCCCCACCAGCCTGCCCACAGTTAGTCTACGATCGACAGGTCACGTACGGTGAGGCAAAGCGCGGCCAAGTACTCCCTCCTCTTCCAACAGGCCCGGCTAGCGTGATTGGAAAAGCAACCGAGTACCGTCCTCGAGCTCCCACCAGCGGGAGGCCCCTTCCGCCTGCATGGGCGCGAGTAGGAAATTGCAGGGGCTGCACCTGCGCCTGACCGGCGACGACGAGCGAACGGAACTCGAGCGAGGAGCGGCCGCGTCGCTGTGCCGCGGCGAGCGAGGCTTTTTCCGCCGCTCGATCTAACGCACGGAATTTTAAAGCGGGACGTCGCTCCCCCAGCGAGATGCGGATCCACCTCCCCCACCACCTCCTACCCCCCTCACCGCTTCCCCCCCCCCCGCCCCTCCCACACCCCAACCGCACGCCTCGCTCGTCTCGTCGTGTGAGCGTTGCGGAAACACCTCGCTCCGCGCAACGACTAAAAAAAGTCAAGTAATAAACATCCCATCGGCGGTGGCGGCGCGGCCGACGAGCCGGGAGCCGCCCCTTGCTGCCATTTCGCTCGGCTCGGTGGCCTCAATAAAACGGGAGGAGGAATGGAGGGAGTCGCTCGCCCGCCCGCCCGCCTGCGCGCCCGCGCGCTCGCCGCCGCAGTAAAGCTGTCATAGCGCCATTGATTTTCTTTGCTCGGTGGAGGCCTCTCTCTTATGGCTATTGACCCGCGCGGGGAGGGCCTGATTGAAAACTTTGCGTCGCGATATTTAATTGCACGCTTTACTACGTGCGCGATGTGTGTGTGTGTGTGCAATGTGCGGCGGAGGGCGGGGGGTAAGTTGGGGGAGGGGGGGGTGGCAGGGGGAGGGTGATGGAGCCGTATGGTGAGACTCGGAAACCGTCTCGGCTGCCTTGGTAAAGCAGCGCTAACGCAAGGGTGGTAGTGGTGGTGGGGGTGATGGTGGTCATGGTGGTGATGGTTGTGAATTGGTGGTGGTTATAATGGTGGTGGTCGTGAGGACGGTATTGGTGGTTGTGGTGCAGATGGAGGGGGGGGGGGGGGGCGGCACCATCATGACCGACGTGTAACTTAAACGTTTGTGCAGCCCTTTTGTCAATAAGCTGCTGGATGACAGCCTTCCCACGCCATGCAGGTTAATTGACTGTACGTTATACTTCACCACGCTGGCCAGCACGGGCCAGTGTAGGCAGCCCCCCTGAAAGCGCAGAGAATCACACAGACACGGACTCACCGCACACAGACACGGACTCACCGTCCTCCGTGTCACTCGTCAGCCAGACTGGGTCCCGCTCAGGCTCCAGCCAGCGCTGCAGGGCCCGGAAGGCCTTGGCGATGACCTACTCACACGGGCAGCAAAGAGACAAAAGACAGAGGTAAAGATCCCCTGTATAGCCTTAACAGACTGTTGGGGCAAGTGCTGTTAGCGAGTAGCACCTATGAAGGACGGCATGACACACGAGGGGGTGGGTGGCCAGCGCCACACCCAGCGGCCGCATTCGTCTCCCCAGTGTTTAAGTTCACACACCACACCAGGTACTCATTTGAGGCCGAGTCAACCTTGGGGAGGCCCAGGACAGGTTCATATATCCACCACCGTAATTGGTCGTGAGCGGCAATCTAACTCGGGGCGGCAGGTTCCCAGTGAAGTGCGCTGACCACTGCGCCACCGTTCCCCACTACCGCAGGAAGAGACACACGCACGGACACAGCCGTGATCGTCCTGGTGCCACAAATCGGTCATGCTTGTGACTCCATCGAATTTGTATTCCGGGGTCAGAATACGAGCAGGGCTAGGGGTCAGCGTTGCGCACCTGCCCAGTAGTTCCCCTTGCAGATGCACGCCTAGGCCGCGTTCCGAACTGTCCCATAACGGTGCGGAGCAGGGCATGAATCAGAATCACAAGATGTATATATACTGGAGGAATCCGATGAGCTATAACGCATAGTTTTTCACAGATGTTCACGTGATACGAAAGGGTGCAACAACCTCGTTCAAACTGTGTTCTGTCAACATGAAGATACGAGCCTATCAGGCCAGTAGGCTAAGTCGCAACAGCACCGCGGCTAGGGGAATAGAAGCATTACGCCAACTGTCTAGGGTGAGCTAAGGACGTTTAAACTACCACAGGAAGGGGGTTAAAATAATATATTGCATTCTCACCCCGGGGTTAGAATTCTACTGGGGTCAAAATACAACTCGCACAGGCACCGTCCAAAGGTGATATCTGTGTGGACACGTACGCGCATGTACGTTTGTGAAGTGTAACGGTTGGCAAGCTACGCTACAAACACGTCGATCCGAGTTCGAGAATCACTGGGGAGACAAAGGTGGCCGGGCAAGGTGCTGGCCACAAACCCCCTCGTGTGCTGTGCTGGCCAAACCACGTCCTATGAAGGCCAAAACGGGCATGTGCTCACTCACAGAACTTGCTCGTAATGGTCTGTTCAGGCTATGTGTGTGGAAGTGTGTGTGAGCGTAGTGTAGCGGTTTGCGCACTGTGCTACGAACCCAGCGACCCGGGTTTGATTCCCGCTCACGGCCAACACCAGTGACGATTATCTAAACTGGTCCTGGACCTGTTCTAGCTCGACCCATCCTCAAATGAGTACCGGGTGCGGTGTGTAACCATCGCCACTGGGGAGACAAAGGCGGCCCGGGCGTGGTGCTGGCCACCCACCCCCTCGTGTACTGCTCTGGCCTTCATAGGTGCTCGTGAACGGCACTTACCTCAACAGTCTGTTAAAGGCTACAGAGAGGACGTTTGTCTTTGTTGTTGTTGTTGTGTGAGCGCCGGCGCAAATGCGAGGAGCGAGGTCAGAGCGGCGCTTACGCTGGGGTCGGCATCCGGGCTGCCCAGGCACCCGAGCAGAACCTTCACCACCGCACGTCCGAGGGCATCTTCGCCTGCCCGTGACGCACGCACGCACCGACATGCACGCACGGACACGTGGACGCACAGACGCGTATACTGTACGGACAATCGTGCACAACAACGACAGTCTGCCACTGCAGTGTTGCGTCGAACTTGGAGCCATATCTGACAGGAGAGGCGGGTTCCTTCCCGACAAACACGTTGGCAGTTCAAGCAAGCCTGCCTCTGCTGCTGGTGAGACGCTGAAATGTCGAAACCGGTCCGGTTCTTTCTCGTGTTTTACCAACGGCCGCTGAAATTATGCATTCACACCCAGAAGGCCGTGCGGCTGATAGGATGTGTGGGAAAAAAAACGCATCTCTTGCGCAACACCGAGGTTCTCCTAGGCCCCTGGGGGTTAGCGAACACGTGCATCACGATGGCTTATTCGTGTTTTTTATTTGTATTTAATCTCTCCCCGTCTCTCCTCTCACACTTTTCTCACTTCGCTCTCTCTCGCTCTCTCTCTGGAGTCTCCCCCAAGACAATAGTGCGACTGATTTTTCAACAAAAACTTTCACCACAAACAGGGGGGGCGGGGGGGGGGGGGTGGGGAAATTCCTCTGCCTGGGGGCAAATGCTCAAATAACCAAGGCAATCAAGCACTAATTGGAGACACCCTCGCTCGTAATTAATTCGTGTCGCCTAATCGGCAGTAACGAATGGCGTGGGCGGGATGACGACAAAGGAGCCAGGGGGCGGGTCGGAGTGTAGGTGGCACGCGGATAGTAGTACTTGCAGTCACGGTGAGAGATATACTTGAGGTGGTGTACCGGGTGCAGAAATGTGTTCCAAGCTGCCCCCACCCCCCGCCCCCGCCCCACCAACAGACCTGGCTGCAATTAAGCCCAGTACTTAGGCAGAGACGCATCGACCTTTGCAGAGGCCCACAGGCTTCATGTAGACTAGCGGAGACCCATACACTCACATTGAAGAGATTCACGTAGACTCACAAAGTCCGATATGGTTACATAGAAGAGCTTCAAGTAGATTGACACAGAGACTCACAAGCTGCATTGCAGACTCATGGAGACCCATACACTTACATATAAGAGCGTCACCTAGACTCATAGATGCCCTCGTAGTCTTACAACAGGGCTTCACTGTGTGCGGAACATACCCCAGGTCGCTGTGTAGACTGGAGTATATGTGGCAGGTCGGGAGGTGGCATGTGATGAGTAGTAGCCACAGCCATCGGCGAGAGGTTTACTGGAGATGTGGTGTGCCGGGTGTGGAAATATTTTCAGGGTAGCCGACGTGGACAGACCTGGCTGAAATGAATCGCTGGATTCATGTCAGCGTCAATTGGCAGAGGGGGGTGGGGGGGGGGGGGAGATTAATATTCATCACCGCTCGTTTGGCTCAATCATTATGACAGCTGCGCCACCGCTCTCGTAAGAAGCAGTGCATCACCCTGCATCGGACAACGGCCTCGGAAGGCGACGTCACTGGACCGCTTCTAAGGTCACGTCGGATCGCTTGAAGGGATCTCAGCAGTAGTTACGTCGCATCCGCTTCTCGTGAGCGATGGGTCGCACCGCTCAGCGAGAGAATGCGAACGGATTCCACGCTTCTTGACGTCGACGTCGATAGCGCAATCGGGCAAAATGAGGGGCGAAACGGATTTCTTCAGAGGGTTAAATTAATAAACGACACGCAGCGGGTATTAATCAAGAGGTGGTGGGGGTGGGGGATGGCAACATTAACCTCAAATGCCCCCTCCGTCGCTCACCCTTTTCAAACAAAAGTCGTGGACCGCAGTTTAAATTTTTTACGTCCACCGTCCGCGTTCCCACCTCCTACTTGGGCCGCGGGTACTCGGCCGGCACAACTCGCCCGCGGTCACCACCCGAGGCGGCGGAAGTGTAGAGGCAGCGATTCCTTTATACGGCCAAATAAAAGTGAATTACGCGAGGGCCATTCCCAAATGATTGGATCATCCCCGCATCCACTTTTACTGGCCACATAACGACACCGGTCGCCACTAAAGATTTCGGGCTTTCTCAGCGAACGCGACGCTGATTTCCACGGTGGCACGCGGCCCCCGTGGTTGATGGCATCACCTGGCACGCGGGCCCAGGAGCCCGGCTAAACGGTCACCCGGCGCCCCTGTGCCAACGCCGCTCATCGTGCGCGTGATGCTGCTCAACTGTTAACATCTCGATCAGAGCTTTCTCAGAATTCTAGATTAAAGTTTCTCTCAATTCTAGATCAGAGCTTCTGGCAATTCTAGATGAGAGCTTCTCTCGATTCTAGATAAGAGCTTCTCTCAATTCTAGATAAGAGCTTCACATAATTCTAGATCAGAGCTTCTCTCAATTCTAGATGAGAGCTTCACACAATTCTAGATCAGAGCTTCACGCAATTCTAGATCAGAGCTTCACGCAATTCTAGATACAGTGAGGGAAAAAAAGTATTTGATCCCCTGCTGATTTTGTACGTTTGCCCACTGACAAAGAAATGATCAGTCTATAATTTTAATGGTAGGTTTATTTGAACAGTGAGAGACAGAATAACAACAACAAAATCCAGAAAAACGCATGTCAAAAATGTTATAAATTAATTTGCATTTTAATGAAGGAAATAAGTATTTGACCCCTCTGCAAACCATGACTTAGTACTTGGTGGCAAACCCTTGTTGGCAATCACAGAGGTCAGACGTTTCTTCTAGTTGGCCACCACGTTTGCACACATCTCAGGAGGGATTTTGTCCCACTCCTCTTTGCAAATCTTTTCCAAGTCATTAAGGTTTCGAGGCTGACGTTTGGCAACTTGAACCTTCAGCTCCCACCACAGATTTTCTATGGGATTAAGGTCTGGAGACTGGCTAGGCCACTCCAGGACCTTAATGTGCTTCTTCTTGAGCCACTCCTTTGTTGCCTTGGCCGTTTGTTTTGGGTTATTATCATGCTGGAATACCCATCCACGACCCATTTTCAATGCCCTGGCTGAGGGAAGGAGGTTCTCACCCAAGATTTGACGGTACATGGCCCCGTCCATCGTCCCTTTGATGCGGTGAAGTTGTCCTGTCCCCTTAGCAGAAAAACACCCCCAAAGCATAATATTTCCACCTCCATGTTTGACAGTGGGGATGGTGTTCTTAGGGTCATAGGCAGCATTCCTCCTCCTTCAAACACGGCGAGTTGAGTTGATGCCAAAGAGCTCCATTTTGGTCTCATCTGACCACAACCCTTTCACCCAGTTGTCCTCTGAATCATTCAGATGTTCATTGGCAAACTTCAGACGGGCATGTATATGTGCTTTCTTGAGCAGTGGGACCTTGCGGGCGCTGCAGGATTTCAGTCCTTCACATAATCATTGCAACTCCACGAGGTGAGATCTTGCATGGAGCCCCAGGCCGAGGGAGATTGACAGTTCTTTTGTGTTTCTTCCATTTGCGAATAATCGCACGAACTGTTGTCACCTTCTCACCAAGCTGCTTGGCAATGGTCTTGTAGCCCATTCCACCATTCCAACCTTGTGTAGGTCTACAATCTTGTCCCTGACATCTTTGGAGAGCTCTTTGGTCTTGGCCATGGTGGAGAGTTCGGAATCTGATTGATTGCTTCTGTGGACTGGTGTATTTTATATAGGTAACAAGCTGAGATTAGGAGCACTTCCTTTAAGAGGGTGCTTCTAATCTCAGCTCGTTACCTATATAAAAGACACCTGGGAGCCAAAAAACTTTCTGATTGAGAGGGGGTCAAATACTTATTTCCCTCATTAAAATGAAATCAATTTATAACATTTCTGACATGCGTTTTTCTGGATTTTTTTGTTGTTATTCTGTCTCTCACTGTTCAAATAAACCTACCATTCAAATTATAGACTGAGCATTTCTTTGTCAGTGGGCAAACGCACAAAATCAGCAGGGGATCAAATACTTTTTTCCCTCACTGTAAGAGCTTCACGCAATTCTAGATCAGAACTTCTCTCAAATTCTAGATCAAAGCTTCTGGAAATTCTAGATCAGAGCTTCACGCAATTCTAGATCAGAGCTTCACTCAATTCTAGATCAGAGCTTCACGCAATTCTAGATCAGAGCTTCACTCATATCTACATCAGAGCTTCACGCAATTCTAGATCAGAGGTTCACGCAATTCTAGATCAGAGCTTCACTCAATTCTAGATCAGAGCTTCACGCAATTCTAGATCAGAGCTTCACGCAATTCTAGATCAGAGCTTCACGTAATTCTAGATCAGAGCTTCACGCAATTCTAGATCAGAGCTTCACTCAATTCTAGATCAGAGCTTCACGCAATTCTAGATCAGAGCTTCACTCAATTTTAGATCAGAGCTTCACGCAATTCTAGATCAGAGCTTCACGCAATTCTAGATCAGAGCTTCACGTAATTCTAGATCAGAGCTTCACGCAATTCTAGATCAGAGCTTCACTCAATTCTAGATCAGAGCTTCACGCAATTCTAGATCAGAGCTTCACTCAATTTTAGATCAGAACTTCACGCAATTCTAGATCAGAGCTTCACTCAATTCTAGATCAGAGCTTCACGCAATTCTAGATCAGAGCTTCACGCAATTCTAGATCAGAGCTTCACGCAATTCTAGATCAGAGCTTCACTCAATTTTAGATCAGAACTTCACGCAATTCTAGATCAGAGCTTCTCTCAATTCTAGATCAGAGCTTCTCTCAATTCTAGATCAGAGCTTCTTGCTATTTTAGATCAGAACGTCTCAGAATTCAAGATCAAAGTTTTTCAGGATTCTAGATCAGAGCTTCTCAGAATTATAGGTCACAGCTTCTCAGAATTCAGCCCAATGTCGTCAGATTCTGAGTACTTGCATAAGCCACCATCATGCATAATCAGGAGTTATAAGGTACTTCGGGAATACTTGTGGGAAATAGAAGGCGGTGCTGCAAAATCAACTGTTGTACTGTTCCACGCTCGCATGTCTTTGCTCCCTACCTTCACTAACCAGCACCGACCAGTGTGGTGACGTATGGTAAACAACCCCCAACGGCCCACACAGCTTGTATTGACAAGAGGGCTGTGCACACGCTCATAATGCCAATTTCACTATTCCTTAGTAAACCCTCGCCGAGTCTCAAGACTCTCTTTGCAAGAGTGCGCTGCTACATTGAGACGTTCGGCCACGATTTCCATTCGTGGCGAGAGTTGGGCTTCGACTAGTCATCCGGGTTGCGAGGCCGTGCCGGCTAACGGGCCGAGAAACCGGCGAACGAACGCGACAGCACGGGCGCCGTGACGGGAAACGCTCCGCGGCTCCCCCCATCATCGCACATTTCACAGAGGCGGGCGTCGCGCGTCTTGCAAGACAACGGAAGGAATTGCGAGAAATGCGAATAATCAAGTTTGGAGGAGCGGGAGCTAGCGGGGCGGGCGAGTGGGCGCGTGAAGGACGATCATTTTGAGTGGCAACCCAGCGCGGGAATAATGTGGGATCCCATTAAGATTTTTTTTTTTTATTAAAACTTCAAAGACGGTTGTCGGGTCCACAAAAACTTTGTTTAAATATTAACGGCACTATTTTATTATTCATGAGGTCATCTGGTGTCCTCAAACTTGGCCGCGTTTGAAAGTGGTGGTGGGGTGGCAGCGACGAGCTGCGGCAGTCGTGGGCGCCGCCGACACCGACGCCGCAGCGCTGCGTCGGCACAAAACGAGGTCGGTCGATTCCTCGAGACATAGCGCCAGACGGGATTTCGTAATTATTGCATGTTTTTTTGTTTGTTAATTATTACTATTATTATTTTTTTTTATTTGCGCAGCGCAAGGCGCTCTGTAATCGTCTCGCTGTGCCGCGTTAGTTCTCTGAGGCGCTAAAAAATTAAGGGGCATGAAGGCTCTATAATTATTCATTACCGCTGCGATTCACGACACAAGTTGCACGTGTATGTGCGTGCGTTGTGCGAGTTAGCACGCTGCGCTACAAAGCCGGCGACCCAAGTTCGATTCCCGCTCACGGCCAACACAAGTGACGATTATCCCCTAGGTTGACTCAGCCTCAAAATGAGTACCTGGTGCGGTGTTTAAACATCGCCACTAGGGAGACAAAGGCGGTCGGGTGTGGTTGCTGGCCACCCACCCCCTTGTGTGCCGTGCCGGCCTTCATAGGTGCTCGCTAACAGCACTTGCCCCTACAGTCTGCTGAGGCGATACGGGAGATCTTTGCTTTTATTTTTTGTGTGAGTGTGTGAAAGTTATCGTGATGATTACAGAACCTATCCACACGTACATGCAACTTATTTCGCACTGTGCGTAGCCAACCGTACGAATCGGAGGTGTGAGGAAAAGGACAAACTAAAGCACAATAACAAGCTCTCAAGAAATTAGTTTTCAATCTAGATTTAAACGTGCATGGCTCCAGTGGCTTCCTAAGATGGCTACGTGGGTGTGTGCGCGCGGGGAGCGGTGGTGCAGTAGTTAGCGCGGCCACTCCGAGACTGTGGACCCGAGCTCGATTATCAGCCATGGTGAGAACCAAACCAAATTAGTTTGGGGACACCCTCTACCCCAACCCCATCCGCACTGACCAGAGTGGTGAAGTATGGTCAAACAACTCCCGTGACCAAGGGAGTGTGGGAAGGCCTTCATCCTCATATTATCATAGCATGAATCCTGTTTTGTCTCGGTGACATGGCGGAACATCTTATTTCCACAAGTTGTTAACTGTGTATACAAGTACTGTTGCATACATGAGTGAAGTCGTGCATGAGTGTTGTGTTTGTGTGTTGTGTATGCAAATATCATTGAGTGTTGTGTATATATATGTCGTGTTTACGAGTAATGTTGTGTATTAGTAAAATTGTGTATCAGTGCTGTGTATACAATTGCCATTATGTATACACGTGTCAATGTGTATACGAATAATCGTTGTGTATGTTTGTTGTATGCGAGTATTGTTGTGTATACAAGTGTCGTATGCATCAGTGCCGTTGTGTATACCAGGGTTATCGTATAGACGAATTTCGTTGTGTATACAAGCATCGTGTTCATTACCTTCCGTTGGTGCGGCCAGGGCAGCCAAGCAGTCAAGCCCCACCCTCTGCACTCGCGAGCAGCCAATCAGAAACAGCGCCAGCCGCCCTCCTGTGGGGGATTGTGGGACATCTAGGCCGAGGCTGAGGGCGACCACGCGGCACACCCCCTCGGTGGCCGCCGTGGCCTCCGCACGTCCGAGTGGCCGCTCCTGCACGGCGGAAGGGGAGGCGGCGAGGGGGTGCGTGGGGTCGAAAAACAACAGCGCAATTAGGCCAGGCTCATCAAGGTCCCCTTCCCTTTCATCAGGACCTCAATATCGTCCCCCGTCATCACTTGAAGTCACGCCAAGCCCTTTTGGACCCATGCGCTTAACCTTAAAACAATGCGAATTCAACCCCGATTAATCTTGGGAGAGCTGAATGGAGTTCATAAGCGCTCGCAAACAAGCGTCCTGCGAAAGACCCAATGCAGAAGATCCCTGGTTTTGATCATCCGTGAAGCTCGTGGTCCAACCTTAATCGCATCCACTGCACAAACCGTGGCAGACGTGGGTGCCTGATGCACAAATGGAAAATTTTAAACTCTCCAGCAGTGTGCCACTGTGGTCATCCAGAACAGACTCTACATGAACCCAAACGTGAATCAGGAAGTATATTTTAACGTAAAATGTTTTCTAAGGCACGCCGAGCGTTATAGCTGGTCAAAGATAGCTCAACGAAGTGACTTAGGTGGAAATGTATAGCAGTCACATAATCTAAGCGCTTGCTTCTAAACGTGAAGGGAAAAACCGGACGACCTGGGAGAACATGCAAACTCCAAATATACAGCAAGCGTCAGGGGCAGGACTGAACCCACGACCTCCTGTATACCAGACGAGGTAGTTAACATCTCACCATAGTGGCGCCCCAAATGTATGCATGTACAGTATTGTACGCTACAGTATGAACAATCGTTCGGTTGAACTTCACCACCTCGCTGGATGCTGGGGAACACGTGAACTGGGACCTGCGACGGGCATCAAGGGCGCAATCGGCGAACTGGTCAAATCCGCGATGGGCAAGGTTGTGGTGTGCCTCTTCTCCAACTGGAACATCCAAGCAGAGCCGGCACGGGGCCCACCTGGTACAGGTGATTTCCCACTGGCTGTTTGCCGAGCCGTGATACACGCTGGCCTCACAAGACCACTGCAGCTGGCTTGGAGCCAAGCAAGGCCATGGGGCAGGAGTTATCGTTTTTGTCAAATGCATCATCTGCATGCTACACGACTCGTTTATTTCATGTGCAGTGGAAAAACAACAAGCTGCCTTCCAAGCCACACCGGAGCTGGATTGGCTACGACTCGGTAGCTCCACCCACTACTAAGGTAGCCCCTCCCACTAATCTGGTAGATCCACCTGCTGCTCAGGTAGCTCCACCCACTATTCAGAAGCTCCGTCCTTTGTCCAGATCATCAGCAGCGATCGGAACATTTTCAACCGCAGTGTGACACCGGAAGAGAGAGATTTTTTTAATCCACGGGGACTGTCCGGGCTCAAACCGGAGACGTTTGGGTAGGATTTACGGAAACACGGGTCCTTTAATTTCTGAGCCTCCTGCACCGAGAGCAATGTCGCAGGTACATACAAATAAATCATAAATATAGACTAAAGACGCGTCCCCACTTCGCAAGATTTTTTGTTGAGCCTCCGTTCGCTGCACCCGCGCCAGCCCGCGCGTTTTATGTTCGCGTGTTTTAATGTGACTCATGCATACATGCATGCCACGTGTTTGTAAGTGGCTGTTCCCCATCGCTCTTTCAATTATGCATCACCGCACCGACTGCCACGACCGCGGCATCTTTTGTTCCGCGACGTGCGACGCGCGAAACAGAACCACCCAGAGAACAGCGTGTGACACGCGCGCAATTACACCATGATCAAATAATTAATAAATAAGCAGGCAAAGAATGCGTTTCGTGGCCAAAGAAACGACAGGCGAATTAACATTTTACATCGGTGAAGCCGGTGGGAATTACGCTGCTAGACGGGGAGAAAAATTCAAGGTGAGCGACATCATCATCGTCGTCGTCGTTTTGACCGTAAACACAAGTTGGACTTGCGCAGAACAAGTCATTGGTTAGAAGCGTTGATGTCCAGTGGGGTCAAGAGTAACGGCAGAGGGGCAGATGAAACAATGGCGAGGAAGGCCCATTCATTTCAACATCATCAGCTGCAATGATTCCACTGCTGGATGAAGACTGCCTCCACAAGCCGAGGCCTGACACGTGACACAGCGATTCACCTAGCTCCTGCACACACGAGCCAGTCTCGCCGGTGCATCTCCCCCGGCGGACGTCCAGACACGTAGATTGGGACGGAGTCGTAACGCCGACTGCGTTGGGTGCAGGCGTTCCCGCGAGGGCAGCACTGTTGCATGGTGCGCAGTAGGGGGCAGTGCAGTAAAACTCCTCTGTAGAACCCATCCTTCGATGCCCCTATGCCAAGGATCTTACGGCAAGAACTTTCCCCAACCCGCGGCACGACAAAGAAGCACGGCCAAGACAACACGGCACGCCTGATGTGGTGTGGCGGTGGTGCGGGCGGGCGGCACGTGGCCTTGCAGTAGCCACGCGTCAGAGATGTGAACTGGATGCGGTGCGCTGCGTGATGAAAGTGAAAGTAAAAAACCTCTCCGGCCAGCTGACTGAGGAGGTGCGTCGCGTGGCACAGCAGCCCCACGGCGCCGGCCCGCGTGCCCATGTGCCGCAGCGCCCAGGTGGCCACGCCGACGGCGCCGGCGGAGGGGGGGGGCAGAGGTGGGAGCGGTGGCCCCCTCGGTCGCCGTCGAGCCGGCCTCCGCAGCGGCGGCGAGCAGAGGCAGCAGCACCGTGTGAACGTGCGCCGCGGCTGTGTCCCGCTCCGAGCTGCACGGGGAGGGGGCGAGGCACCGGTGGGCGCGGGGGGCGGGGGGAGCAAGGGGGCACCACGTGGTCAAAGAAATCATCAATCGCATCGCATTCGATTTTCTGATGAATTCCACTCCACACGAGTTCACTGTGCGTAGATAATTTGAAAACAAGTCTCTCGTTAGTCTTTGACAATGTCTTTCAGAGCAACAATGCAGGCAGAAACGTGTCAAGAACGTGATGCAAAAAAAAACATTGGCAGTTCCCGAAACATTGCACTGTGGCCGTCTTTCCTTAAGTCGTCATCAAAATAAATTTGAGCAGAAAGTTGACCGGCTTTACCAGCAATAGTGAGACGGACATAGATAACTGTGGACCGGTTTTGTCCGTGATAGGTCTCATCAGTAACAGTATAATCACCAACGCTGACAATATATTTGTAAGTCTGATGAAGTGTACACGGAGATGGTGCAGGACAGGAATGCTGGCCTAGGACAGAAAGACGAGGATGATGATGATGCATCTGATGACAATCATTATCAGGGCTTAAATTCTCACAGAACATCGATTTAACTCACTCTCGTATGCCAGAGTGTTTGAGATGTTGCGTGGACCAGAGGTCGCTTGAAGGGATCTCATTGGGGGGTAGCTCTGTGATATCCACTTCTGCGGGCCAACACGAAGAGTTGTGCTGTTGCCTGCGAGAGTTCCGAATGGATTCTCCTTCTCATGCCATGAGACAGAGACATCACCTCTGAATGCCGAGCGGGTCTTTCAGGGTGGTGGGGGACACGGTGTTATTCAACTATACTTCACGGTGATTAGTGGCGAGGTTGATGAAGGCGGGTTAGCGTATGCTGGAAACAAAACGCCGACGGCGGCTATGTATTGGGCGCTAAACAACACTGAAAAGTTGACGTCGCTTCTCGTCGTCGTTGACGGTGCCGCGGGCGGTCCAGGTGTGGTGCGGTGTGCCGCTAGAGGCCCACGTACCCAGGCAGCTGCGACAGAGCGGCGGCGAGCGACAACCCGTGCCCCGCGTGCCGCGATTCCAGCAGCGCCTGCAGCAGCGCCGGTAGGTGAAGGAAGCCTGGGGGAGACTCGCGGCTCCTGGAAGGTGGCGGGGAATATGCGGGAGGCAGAGGGGCGAATGGGAACAGGGTTTACACTGTGAACTTGCGTCAGGACCCCGACGATCCTACGGGGCCCACAGCGTTCACTTCTGAACGTGAAGATGTATCGCGCTCCGGCGTGTTTTCGGACCGGGTGCTGTCCGCCACGTCAGCGGAACACGAGCTCGGAGACCTGAACTTGGGATCCGGATCGCAAGGCTCCCGAGTATTCGCCGCTTCACCACGGAACATGCCGAACACCACGCGGTAAAACCCGAACACCCAGGCAAGTTAGCGCCGTCCGGGAGCCAGCAACAGGTTTGCAATGATTCATTCCTCCCTGAGCGTTCACAGCTGGCTTAGCACGATTCTGGGTCACTCAGGAATTGCCCGTCTCGGTCCTTCCGCCGTCTGTCCTGTTGGCGCCATCTCACCCCGTCCCATCTGTTCCGTCTCTCGTCAATTCTGTCTCGCTTGTGTTGCCAGCTATGATCTGTCCCATTAGCGCCATCGGTATGAACATATATGTCCATATATCATCATCATCATCGTTATCATCATCATCATCATCCCGTCAGCCGTGATCAATCCACTGCTGGATGAGGGCTGTCGCCACCTCGCCATCCGGCCATGTAACGATCCCCGCCTGTTAGCGTCTGCACATGGACTCATTGCAGCACGTCGTAAGTATGACGTACGGCTTGAGGAAGTAATCGATGACGTATTTAATGTGCATATTGGGAATGTAATACAGCGCTTGGAGAAAAAAAACCCGCGCTTGTGGTGTTTTGGCGGTGGTGGTGATGGTGTGTTAGTGGTGGTGGCGATTTAGCGGTAGTGAGGGTGTGTTAGTGGCGGTGTTTTGGCAAGGGTGGTGGTGCCAGTGTTTTAGCGGTGGTGGTGATGGTGTGTTAGTGGCAGTGGTGTTTTGGCAAGAATGGTGGTGCCGGTGTTCAAGCGGTGATGGTTTTTTGGGCGTGATGGTAGTGGTGTTTTAGCGGCGGTGGTGCTGGAGTTTTGGCGGCACCGATAGCGGTGTTTTGACAATAGTGGTAGTGTTGTAGCAGCGGTGATGGTGTTTTGGCGATGGCGGCCGTCGGCCGTCGCTCCGCACCGCAGCAGCAGCGCCAAGTGAAGGTCCAGCAGCGCCTGCACCGTGCGCGTCTCCCGCTCGCCCACGCGTCCGCCCTCCCAGCAGGCCCGCACGTCCGGCCACAACGCCGCCATGGCCTCCCAGCGGCCGCCGTCCTCCCCCGCTCCATCCGATCGGCCGTTCTCCGCCTCAACGTCCGTCGCGAGGCCAGCGGCGCCGGCAACGCTGCCGCCGCTCGCCCCCCACCCCGCCAGGAGACGCAGGGCCCGGCGGACGCCGTCTTCGCCGCCGTCGTCGCCGCGGAGAGACGAACGGACGGAACGGTCGACGAGGTCTGCGAAGGGGGAATGACACGAGCGCGACGGCGGCAATGAACGCGGCGACGAAAGAAGCCATTGCACAGCAACCACAGCCGCAAATACCGTTAGGCGGTCACGGCAAGCGCAGCCCCAACACCCACAGCAATGACTGCAAATACGTTCTGTTGCAATCGCGTTATGCGACCACATCACGGACGCAGACGCATCGTACAGAGACCACGGCGACAAACGGGTTCTCTCCAGCGACGAACGTTAATGCGGCAAACCACATTCGACATAATAACAAACCCATTCAACACAAAACCGCAACACAGCAACCACACATTGACCGCCGGCACGTCTTAACAGTGCACAGGGGGGGCCGTAATCCGGCAGTGGAATCTCGCCGCAAAACTTTAATGCCGGCGGCGGCTTCTCCTGCTCCCTCCTGCCGCTCGTGCTCCACATTCCGACTCTGAGCCAAAGGCTGCTTGGAGTTCAGATTGCCTCTTGCGCTAATTGGCCGTAATTGGCGAGCGGTGAGAGGAGGTGGGGGGGGGGGGGTGGGGGGGCCCGGAGGGCTCGCTCGATGTCCAGGAGGCTCCACCGCCGCCGCCCCTCCGCGTCGCCGTGCCGTGAATTACAAAAGACGCCGGAGGCGGTGGCGACGACGGTGGTGGCGCCCACGGCACGAGCTGCCAAGTCGGTTTCGGCGCCGGGCGGCGCTCGCGGCCCTCCGCGGCGGCCGCGAGCGCCGCCCGGCGCCTCGCCCTGGTGTCGCATCGATCAGCCGGGTCTGGATAGGAAGTGGCATGGAGTGGGGGGGGGGACTACAACCTTTGCCATGTGCCCACCCCCCCCGCACTCCTCGCCCTACCACCACCGGATTTACGAGCGAGGTCGCCGAGGGCTGGCACGAGAACGCCGCGCGGTGAAACACGGCGGCCAATTTGCAGTCTTCGACACTTCGCGTGGCCTCAAAGTGCACCTCGCCTGCCACAGGTGCCACGGTGACGTCGCCGCCGCCAGGTGACATCACCGCCACTAGGTGGCGAACGGCGGCGGCTGCTCTTGTTGTTGTGCGCATCGCGCAGGAGGGGAGCGGTGATCATACCCAGCACGGGGTTGTGATGTGGGGTGCCGGCGGGGGACGAGGGAGGCGGCGAGGGGGGGGGGCGCGGCCGCGGGGCCCAGGCGCTCGCCCCACACGAGTAGCCGCGCCAGCAGCTGATTGGCCGCGTTGGCCACAAACATGCTGGGGTCCTTCCAGAGAGAGAGGACAACCTCGACGTTGCCTACAACAAGAAATAAACAACAACAACAACAACAAAAACACAACGGGTAGCTTAGCAACATCCCCACGGACAAACCCAATTTGGTCAACATTTTACAGGCGGCACAAGCCACATGACCCCCAAATGTCATTCATGGGTGCCGTTGGCTACCCCAACAGCGACCCCCTTGGCTACTCCACACAGGCCCCCATGGCTGTCGATCTATATCAGGAGGCCGGGTGGGTCAGAGGTCAAAGACGTGGAGGCGGCGCCGCGGAAAGATCCTGGGTTCTAATCCGGGTTTGAGCCGCCAAGCCACAGCAACAGCAGTTCCACCGGTGTCTCAAGTGCAGTAGTGAGTTGGTGATGCCACCCCAGTCACCAATGACTGCACAAATAAAAACCGCGTTACATTTGGTTCTGCGTTTTAAATGTGGTTTTTTTTCCCCATCTACCACGTGGACCAGAGGCTGACCCCACGTGAGTGGGAATAATACCAGGGAGAAGATGATTATTAGTGGAAAGTGCAGCCCCCTCTACTGTGTGTGCGGGCCAGAGGTCACTTGAAGGGACCTCGGAGGGAGCTCTGTGATATCCGCTTCTGACACCAAGGGGTGGCTCTGCTCAGCGAGAGTTCCGAACAAACTCTTCATCTCTATGACGCGGCGGCGCCGACAACATAAGCGACGGTAAACTTTTGAAGCTTAAAACAAACAAACAAAAAACCCCGGCCATGTGGTCGCTGTTAGCCTGAAACTAACAGCGTCATTCGCTCGCCGAGCAGAACAGTTTGTCTCCTTTCCGAGAATTAACGGCAGGCCCAGACAACACCGGACGGTTGAAGGAACTTGTTGGTCGGAGTGCGCCCTCTGCTGCCTGGCGCGGCACGGTGCCCTCTCGCCACGATGCAGCACCACGCGCCGAGTATGTCGCAAATTAAAAAAAACGATCGATATTGGGACATCAAATCACTTTTAATTTTACGGCGCACGAGAGTGGCGTGGTACTCGAGGGCAGTGGCTCGGCTTCCCCTGCTCACTCCGCATTTTTACGAGACGAGTCTGCCTCCGCCCCCCCCCCGTCTAACGCCACCCCTCACCCCCACCACCGCCACCCCCGCCGCCTTCCCCGCGCGTCGATCCGCGGCTCCGCCGTAACGAGGCGACGATCGGAGGCTGCAGCCGTGACGAGGCGGCGCGTGCGCTCACGGCAGCGTCCGCCCGCATTGCGTGATGCTCGACGCAGGCCGCTCCAGCGCTCCCGATCATCGTGGAGGAGTTTGTGTCGCCCATGGCAGAGGAAGGGGAGACGGGAGGATGGGGGAGGGGGTTGGGGGGAAGGAGGACACTGGAGTGGTACCCAGAGGTGGGCGACCCAGGGAAAGACTTAAAAGATAAATAGTGCTCGTGAGACGGTGAAGAGCGGTGCTTGAAGGATGTGTTGACTGTGTCGCAAGCCAGATAGACGGGGCGGATGGCTGTCTCATGGCCGTGGTGTGGCTGTTCCATGGCTGAGGATGGGCTAGCCATGGTGTGACTGCGCGCAGTGCGGATGTATGTGGCCGCACATTTCCGTGGTGTGGCAGGCCGCGAAGTGGCCGGGCGTGGCGTGACCAACAATGGTGGCCGGTAGTCGTGCGGCCGAAAGTGGTGCGACTAAGTGTGGGGTGGCCGGGCACGGCGGTTGCGTCACGGCGCGGCTCACCGGGCTGGCACAACCACCGGAACGCGGGCTCGTGCCGCAGCGCCGAGCCGAGCCCAACGAGCCAGCCGCAGCGCACCGCCGCCTCGCGCCAAGGGGAGCTCTCCGCGCCGGGCAGTGCGCCAAACAGCCCGTCCACCAGCCCCAGAGCCTGCCGAGCAACACGCATTCAGCTATTCGGTCATTCAGACATTCATGTACACGCAAGTACAGTCCCCCTTTTGTTAATCAATTGCTGGATAATAATAATAATGTCAGCCCATTACGTTCCGTGGCCGCACGGTGTCCGCTCACTCTCGTAGAGAGAGGGTGACTCAAGAGGCACGAGGAGGAACCACAGACGAGCAGGAGGAACTGGCGCCAACAATTATCCAAGCTCTGCTGTCCTCTATATACGAAAGGGTTATCGGCCGATTAACGATTATTTGCATTTGAACACGTAGGCTTTCGCAACCAATATCATCCATAATACAGGTTGTTTTGGGTTAGATCGCGTAAATATGTCGTTAAACCCGCCAATACACGACACAGCCAACGAGTAAGGGTTGTCACGTAAACAAAACATGCCAATTCGTAACGAGTACAGCACACAGGTGTGTTGGAGAGCCAAGATTATTAATGTTTTGGCTTGGCTCTCCAACAACATCATCATTATTATCTAGTGATCCATTCGCGTGGTTGGATTGTGCGCAGCGCCAATTCTCCGCCGGGAGTTACCTGCAGGCGCTGGAAGCCAACGTCGGTTGCGCCCAGCAGCCCGGCGAGACGCAGGGCGAGGGAGAGGACGCAGGGAGCGACGTCCATCCGTGCGGCGTTCACGCGGCCCAGGAACTCCAGCACACACGGACGTACGCGCCGCAGAACCTCCCCGCCGGTGTCTGTTCCCCGTAAAACGAGCGGCGGAAAAAAAAGGGGTGTTTCACTGGCGCCTTGACACAGTGGGGCAAGCAGGCAAGACTCCACCGGCGCCACAAGGCAGGCGAGACACGGGCACCATCAAGCCGCTACACGCGCGTGAGCGAGCGTGTATATCTCACGGTGGGAGAGGCGGTGGTGGCGCAGTGGTTAGTGCTCCACCGCCGGGCAACCCGCGTTCGATTCCCGCTCAAGGCCAACATCTGCAATGAATATCTGAACCGGTTCTGGAGCTACGCCTAGGTTGACCTAGTGCGGTGTGTAAACGTCAGCCGTGTAGCCGTATCACCCTATTGTGTGATGCGCTGGCCTCAATAGGTGCTTGCTTTACAGAACTTGCCCCAAAAGTCTGTTAAAGGCTACACAAGGGATATTTGTCTTTGTATCTCAGTCATACACAGCACCATGGGAGCGATGTGGCCGAGCAGCATCACGGATTTGCCGCCTGTTGCAGAGGTTTTGCGGTCCAAGCCCCTGGATGCCCTAGTTAATTCTGCGGGTGTATTAAACTTAAATCCTCCGCTTCACAGTCGACGTTCAAGATTCCGGATGCCATGCGTGTTGGAACCACGGTCCAAACTTCAGAAATGACTTGAAAATTACTTAATCGGAATAAGCAAATACAACATCGCTCCCCTACTGGCAGGTCTAGTCCCCACTTACTGGCCGGTGTACTGAGGCCAGCTGCCATTATGGGGTTACACGAGGCCAGCGGTGGCCAAATGGTGTCTTTCCGAGCCGCATGCGGCTCTTTAATCAACCGTATGCGGTGCTATCGAAAAGGGTATAATGTAGAATGTACTATCACAGTTGTAAAGAATAGTGAATATCTCCTGTGCTGTGGCGAAAACTGTCAATATATGCACACTTATATATACACTTGGCTCTTTGCCGAACTCACGGGTACTTTTTGGCTCTTGGTCTGTTACAGGTTTTTTCCACCCCTGCCCTAGGCTAAAAGAAACTGCGTGAAGACGTTTTGCTCTGTTATGTGCGCAATGTAAATTATCGTAGTATTATTTACATTACTTTATCTGCATCTCACACACGGTTAAGCTGGCACTGTCTCTAGATTACACATTCCCGATGCTGAAGAATTAAATGCAAATCGCTCGATTGGCAAATCTAATACCCGCGCAGGATTTAGTTGATTTTTGAGCCAGACTGTCGCGTGAATAAAATGCCAATCGATGTGTGGCATACACCCTTACACCACCTGATAAAGCCAAGTAAATAAAGTTGTCACGTGAACAAACGTGCCATTTACTACTGCTGCAGGAGGAATCACGCGCATTTTTGGCTTTCGACACCGCAGCAACATCGCCCCCTACTGTGAAAACGTTGTCAGGATTCTTCTGAAAAGCAATGTTACAACGCAAAAGGTATTGGTCAAATTACCAAATTCTGATGATTGTAACACATAGCTAGCTACAGTGCTCCCTACCGCGTAAGACTGATCAGGGCACTCAAAAAAAATTCCTGAGGCTTTCCACGGTAAACAAGCGCAATAATGAAATCATCGCACCTGGACGAGAAATCTCTCGGCCCAGCCAGTCCAGCAGCTTCTCCAGGCACGTGTCATCCGTGACATCCCGCCCGGGCTCAGTCAGCAGCTGCAGCACGGGCGGCAGCAGAGCCAGCCCCTCCACGCTCGGCTGCCCGGCCACCTCACCTGGGCCCTCACCTGGGCCCTCACGTGGGCCCTCACCTGGGCCCTCACCTGGGCCCTCACCTGGGCCCTCACCTGGGCCCTCATCTGGGCCCTCACCTGGGCCCTCACCTGGGCCCTCACCTGGTAACATATTATCCTTGAGACTTCTGAACAGTTTCTCACAATGTTGAGAGTCTCAATCAATCCATGCAATGTATTGGCATGTTGCGTGTTGCTATTTAACCGAATGTAAATAATCACACACTCGGCCCTATTTACTGCAGTGCACCGGCAGCTGCTACTGATGGTTCAGGTTTCATGATGTAAGCGTCTGATCCAAGAGTTTTGTCTTCACTCACAGCCTTATATCATTTACTATGGAGAGGTGTTCACGAAGTGGGGTATTATAGTAGTCTATTGCTGATACACAAACTCATGCAGACTTGCCCTTGCCTGCACGAGTTAAAATGTTTCTGTGCCTCAGATTATTCGGATTCCCTCTCAGTTTCTTCGGGTTTCCCAAAGCTTTTCAGTAGGGTTCTCATTGATTTGAACCTCTTGGAGTCGATATGTATGCTGGTGTCTCACCTAGTCCCTCAACTGGCTCTCACCTGGTGTTTCACCTGGTCTTTCATCAAGTGGTCTCACCTGGTATATCAGCGGTCTCACCTGATGTCTGACCTACCCCCTCACATGCTCCCTCACCTGCTCCCTCACCTGCTCCCTCACCTGGTCCCTCACATGACCCCTCACCTGCTCCCTCAACTGCTCCCTCACCTGCTCCCTCACATGCTCCCTCACATGCTCCCTCACCTGCTCTCTCACCTACCCCCTCACATGCTCCCTCACCTGCTCTCTCACCTGCTCCCTCACCTGCTCCCTCACCTGCTCTCTCACCTGCTCTCTCACCTGCTCCCTCACATGCCCCCTCACCTGCTCCCTCACCTGCTCTCTCACCTACCCCCTCACATGCTCCCTCACCTGCTCCCTCACCTGCTCCCTCACCTGCTCCCTCACCTGCTCCCTCACCTGCTCTCTCACCTGCTCTCTCACCTGCTCCCTCACCTGCTCCCTCACCTGCTCCCTCACCTGCTCCCTCACCTGCTCCCTCACATGCTCCCTCACCTGCTCCCTCACCTGCTCTCTCACCTGCTCTCTCACCTGCTCCCTCACCTGCTCCCTCACATGCTCCCTCAACTGCTCCCTCACCTGCACCCTCACCTGCTCCCTCACCTGCTCTCTCACCTGCTCCCTCACATGCTCCCTCACCTGCTCCCTCACCTGCTCTCTCACCTGCTCCCTCACATGGTCCCTCACATGCTCCATCACCTGGTGCTTCGACTGCATCGTGAGGTAATGATTCACCTCCACGAAGTGATTTCCTGCTCAAATGAGCATTGAGGCATTGGTGCTAAGCTATTGTTTACAGCCCTGCACCACTGGTGGAAATTCCACGTTTCTATGCTGGGGGTGAGTCTATACACAGGACAACCACTCTATTAGCTTCCGACCAAAGTAATACCTTATTTTATCGACCCTGGAGGCATGGATTATGGGTTGAATAAATATCCGGGAACCAGGATTTGAACTCGCAACCGTCCCATTTTTTTGTCACGAGACTAACTTCTCGAACATCTTTCTTACAGCAATGCCACGTGCTACGAAGAAGGGCCATTTCCCGAAACGTCGCCTGTTGTGTTTAGTGGCAAACAAGCGTCGAGTGTTCATCTCTCCCCAGCAAGAGGAGTGTGAACGCGGCCATTAAAGCCTCACCGCTCCTCATGGCGACAAGGACGAGAGGTCGGTCGCTCGCTCCTTCCACCACAGCTGCAGCTTGTCAATGTCCTGAGCCCCACGTGTCCAGAGTGACCAGCCTGGCCCTTCACTGCCTGTCACTGAGAAATGGGGGGGGAGGGGGGGGGGGGTACAGGGAGATGGGGGGGTGAGAGATGAGTGGGGGGTACGGGGTGATGTGGGGGGGGGGGGTAGAGGGTGATGGCAGGGGGGTGAGAGATGAGTGGGGGGTACGGAGTGAGAGATGGGAGGCACGGTGTGTGTGTGTGTGTATACTATGGAGCAGTCCATAAATGACGTCACGCGATTTTGGACGATTTTTGACCCCCCCCCCCTCGTCACACGGCGTCACAAAAAGTCAGACCCCCCTCAAATATGACGTCACAAAGCTCTGCCCCCCCCCCCCCAAAACCATATTTCCATTTTGAAAATAAAACATGCTTCAAATCACTTTAAACTATTGTCATTGTAGTGCGTATTTAATGTGGCGCTGCACTCTGATGTTGTAGGAGAAAACGTGTTGTCTATATTTATTTTAAGTTGTGCATTTTGATGTGACGTCACATTTCTCAACACCCCCCCCCCCCCTTGTCACACATGTCTGACCCCCCCCCCCCACCAGGTGCATGACGTCATTTATGGACGTGACTTTATCGAAAAAACCAAGAATATAATATAACCCCCCTTTTTATATTCAATTTTCTTGCTGTGGTTTTCACACCTGATGATGATTGCTTGTGTTGCAGTCGAAACGTCGTTATAATTTTATTGCTTTATATATTTTTTATTTTATTGTTTCCCTTCTACGTGGTGACTTTACCAAAAGAATCAAGAATATGAATCCCTGCAGTCACGAAAGCTTTAAATCAAAATTTAACCCCCCCTTTTTGCCCAATGCCACTGTTGCAATGCAGCAGGCCTCTCCCACACTGCGTCCACCATCGGGGTGCTGTTGGGGGGGTGGTGTTGGTTGGGGGGGGGCACGCTTGACCATACTTCACCATCGGGGTGGTGTTGGGGGGGTGGTGTTGTTTGGGGGGGGGGGGCACGCTTGACCATACTTCACCATCGGGGTGGTGTTGGGGGGGTGGTGTTGGTTGGGGGGGGACACGCTTGACCATACTTCACCATCGGGGTGGTGTTGGGGGGGTGGTATTGGTTGGGGGGGCACGCTTGACCATACTTCACCATCGGGGTGGTGTTGGGGGGGTGGTGTTGGTTGGGGGGGGGGGGGGCACGCTTGACCATACTTCACCATCGGGGTGGTGTTGGGGGGGTGGTGTTGGTTGGGGGGGGGGCACGCTTGACCATACTTCACCATCGGGGTGGTGTTGGGGGGGTGGTGTTGGTTGGGGGGGCACGCTTGACCATACTTCACCATCGGGGTAGTGTTGGGGGGGGTGGTGTTGGTTGGGGGGGGCACGCTTGACCATACTTCACCATCGGGGTGGTGTTGGGGGGGGTGGTGTTGGTTGGGGGGGCACACTTAACCATACTTCACCAACCCTCGCCTCGCTTAGCGGCTTACGCGACGGGAGCTGGCGGCGGTGCGAGGGACCCCCGCCCGGTTGGGCCGTCACCTCGAACAACAAAAAATCGAACACAATTTGCTCGCCCGCCGCCAAGCATGAATCTAGAATCGTTACTTAATGGTGGAGGAAACCCGATAAGCCGTAAAGCTCTTCACTCCTACCCCCGCCCCCGCCACAGACGTCAAACACACACACACACAAGCCATCTCTGCCACGGACAGCCTAGAGATTGTGATTCTTACCCCCTCCCCGCCGCCGCCGCCAAGGCTCAGCACCCCCGCGGGGTCTGCGACGCAGTCGCCCTCGCCGTGAGTTTGGGGAAGAATCGACGGGGCTGCGCCTGGGGAGGGCTGCTGCTGCTGATGGTGGTGGTGGTAGGGGGGCGCCGCGTCTCCTCTAGGCCGCGGCGACTTCGTCTTCTCCCTCAGAAAGGTCCATTGGCGGGAATTAATTTGAAGGGGGAGGGGGAAAAAAACCCCGCGTGCAGTCGCTGCTCGCCCCCCTCACGCCCCCCTCACGCCTCTCCGCCTCTCTCCCTCGTGAGGTTTTTTTTTTTCAAACTGCGCCACGCTGGGGGCCAGAGGGAGCCCCGGGGCGACGGTCGTCGTCACATCCCGCGTGACGTCATTTCCGTAAGAGCGATGGCGTCATTAGGGGGGGCGGGGCGAGCGCTGTAACAACAACAAAAATCTATTCTAGATTTTAAAGCTTTCGTGACTGCTAGGATCCATACTCTTTGGTTCTATTGGGTAAACTCACGTAGGTCACGACTTTTCGGCCACAACACAAGCGGCCTTCATCAGGTGAAGGGACGAGACTGTCTGGTAGGACAGCGCTGGAGTGAAAGAAGCCACGCTTAGATCACGACCTTTAAGCTGTGTGAGAAGAAAAAGACCAAGCGCCTTGACAAAGGAATTAGCATATAATTTAGCATTGAAATAGCTAAGTTAAAGTATACACATCCGCAGAGGTACCCCTTGACAAAGGAATTAGCATCGAATTTAGCATTGAAATAGCTGAGTGATTAGCTTGTAACTGGTCACAGAAATAACTGTGTTAAAGTTAGAGCATATACATTCACCGAGGCACCTAGTACAAATCAAATAGGAGAATTTAGCGAAACACAACCACGCTCAGACATCGGACCTGTGTGCGAGCAAACAAGGTGTTCTGACAAAGAAATTAGCATAAAAATTAGCATTTGATTGGCGGATTTTAGGAAAGAGGTGGTGTACGTGCCGGTGGACTTGCCGTTTGGCGCGGGGGGGAAGGGGGGAGGGGGAGTTTACCTATTGATGGTGTGAAAAGGGAATTTATAAAAGCTGTGAAAGTTTGGGGTACCACTACTTGAAAAATATACTGTACCATTGAAATTAGTTTAATGTTTAGTTCGATTTAGAACATCTTTCCAATGGTTGCTTAATTTGAAACCATCCTCTCGGTTTAAATTGTGTCTGTGTTTGTAGATCTGAATTGCTTCATGAACAAATCTCTGATAAAAGCCCGTGGGTTTGCAAAGAACCTTGGTATCGGAGAAAATTATATCGTGATCCCCCACAGCGTTGTAACAGTGATCAGCCACGGCAGAAGAATTCGTTTTGCCGTGTTTCAAATCTGATTTAAAAAAAAAATCTCTCTCGACGCGCTAGGACCTCCCCGACTTACGAACACTCTTTTCCGAGATACGAACACAGCACGGTGTACCGTGTGGTCCGGTTTGCAGTTCTTCGGACACGAGAGTCCGTGAAGTTCAACCGCCGCGTCAATATATGGCGGTGGTGGCATTTGCGTCTGTAGAACGTGAAGAACCAGTGGCACCTACATCTGCAGAGCGTGAAGAACCAGTGGCATCTACATCTGCAGAGCGTGAAAAACCAGTGGCATCTACATCTGCAGAACGTGAAGAACCAGTGGCATCTACATCTACAGAACGTGAAGAACCAGTGGCACTTAAATCTGCAGAACGTGAAGAAGCAGTGGCATCTACATCTGCAGAACGTGAAGAACCAGTGGCATCTACATCTGCAGAACGTGAAGAACCAGTGGCATTTACATCTGCAGAACGTGAAGAACCAGTGGCATCTACATCTGCAGAACGTGAGGAACCAGTGGCATCTACGCCTGCAGAATGTGAAGAACCAGTGGCATCTACATCTGCAGAGCGTGAAGAACCAGTGGCATCTACATCTGCAGAACGTGAAGAAGCAGTGGCACCTACATCTGCAGAACGTGAAGAACCAGTGGCATCTACATCTGCAGAACGTGATGAACCAGTGGCATCTACATCTGCAGAGCGTGAAGAACCAGTGGCATCTACATCTGCAGAACGTGAAGAACCAGTGGCATATACATCTGCAGCCACAGACTTGTGGAGAAATCCTCCTGCTTCGGTCTTAAAATAGTCGGGGGATGAATGTGATGTCGTCACTTGTGAGACAATCGGGTGCGACGATCAAAGAGGGTTGGGGTTATACATCACAATGGATTCTCATTACTGGTTGGGTTAGTCAAAGGATAATCAGGATACATGATGCATGCACTATTATGCATGCACAACCATGCATGTACATCCTGCCGTTTTTGGGTGCAAGAAATCGCAAATAGGTGTTATTGTCTGCCTATACCTTTAGCGATACTGCCACTATTTAGTCAACAAAGTACGTACTGTCCCGTGAACCGCCGTGTAGTCTGCGGTTCTTGTGAAGAAGAGCTACATAGCTCATCGGATTCCTCCTGCAGCCTAAATAAAGATTCTGAAACTACTGTGGTGCCACTCTTACAGTACTGTAACTACAGTACAGTGTTATGTGATGCTGTTACCTTTGGCAGTGATGCACAAGCACAATCTTACAAAAACTTAGCAAGCAACGAGAGTTGGTATTCATGGCACTAATGTTGCGAGACTTCCCTTGGGTCGCTTCTGAAAATCATCTTAATAGCTCAGTGGGCTTTACCTGGTAAAATAAAAATAAACTCGTTATATTATGAGACCTCCTTTGCCAGAAACAAGATATAGGAATAGGTTTTACCCTTTTAACTGGCACAAAAACTGACACCTTTATTCAAGGCATCATGTTTGCAATAACCACAACACAAGCAGTCAAAATGCAAACAAAAAAGACAACTCTGATAATAATATGCACTGTCCTTGAATTTGATTGGTCCACACCCGAGACAGCTTTTCTTAGAGCCTAGTCTCCACTGGTGTTGGACCAGAAGACGCCAAAAGGCGCCTTTTGGTATTCGTACGCCTTTTGGCGTCTTCTGGTCCAACACCAATGGAGACTAGGCTCTAAGAAAAGCTGTCTCGGGTGTGGACCAATCAAATTCAAGGACAGTGCATATTATTATCAGAGTTGTCTTTTTTGTTTGCATTTTGACTGCTTGTGTTGTGGTTATTGCAAACATGATGCCTTGAATAAAGGTGTCAGTTTTTGTGCCAGTTAAAAGGGTAAAACCTATTCTTATAAACTCGTTATGTTTGTATTTTTTTGTTGTTGGTCATTTGCTTTATCTTGACGATACTTTTGCCCTCGTGTCGTGTGTATTGTTTGTTGTTCTAACGTGCTGACCCGCCCCTACTGGACATCGGTGGAGAAGCGCTTTAGAGCTCATCGGATTCATCCAGTATGAATAAAGATTCTGATTCTGACCTCGTCTCTCACTCTGAGCCAACTCTCCCTCAACCACCTGCCCCTCGAGTCACTCACTCTCTCTGTCTCCTCTTCTACCTCACCACTCCATCTCTCGATCCCCCATTCCTCTACGGCCGTATTCTTTGCTACTTTTCAGAGGTGGGTGGGTGGGTGGGGGGCACTTTTGCCGATAACTCATCAATCAGTGTGAGGGCCGCCATACATTTGACACCATTGGGGCTTGACAGGAGCACGATGATGATGATGATGATGGGGGTGTTTTCACTCGGTGTGTATTGTCAAGGGCCGCACTCAAGGCCACCAGGACCCGTCAAGTGGCCCGAGGGCCTAGGAATTAAGAACCCTGCTCGAGTCGATCCCGTACAGATGGAATCCGTTGTGCTCCACACTTTGGGTGTATCGCCCTCTTCTGTCGAGACAGAGTATAAGCTCCAAAATACAGATTTTTTTTTTTGGGGGGGGGGGTTTGATGGCGTAAATATATAAATGTGTCGTTAAACCCGCCACTTTCCGACACAGAACAACTAATAAGGGTTGTCACGTAAAAAGAACGTGCCAATTCGTCACTAGTACAGCACACCGGTGTGTTGGAGAGCCAAGCCACAACATTTACAATCTGAGTACGACGTTTCGCCAGTATTGACAACTAGCTTCATCAGGCGACAGCCAGATTTGTGTGAGAAGTCCACCTGTTTCACAACATCTGTGCGGCGATTCACCAAGCCCTTTGCCTACGCGGCGCTGGATTTACACCGGGTCCACACCTGAGTTGCACGCAACGATGAATTGCACGCAACGGTGAATCGCTTCCGTGCGCACACGTCTCCGAAGCCGGTTGCCAGCAATTGCGCAACCGATTTCTCACAGCAGAGGTCGCTTACTTGTGGACCGGGGCTTAAACGGGGTATTCCCTGTCAATGTTGTGCGTCTTCTTTTACCGTATTCTCCCGATTATAAGACGCTGCCAAAAAAAATAGTAAAAGCATGTGTCACCGTTGCCAGTCGAGTTAAGACGCATTCTAGTCACCACGTGCACATACGCACACCGAATTATACGACGCACCATCAAACTTTTGATTTATAAAATACATGGCGTGATGTAAAGTACGTCTTATTATAATCCAGAGCATACAGTATATCAGGGATTATCAAATCGCTCGGCAGACGCAGATGGTTATGTAACTCTTTAGTTTAATGTAAGTGGGCCCACGCGTTTTAAAAGGCGAATATCATTGTCCCTCTTTTCCATGTCCTGTCTGGGTCACGCGTGTTTGTTCCTCGGTGCAATTACACGCGTCATTCGTGCGCATGTTTAAGCTTGTTCCACATTCATTATCAAACGCCACATGCACCCATCCGATCCATATACTGTATATTAATGTGTATCTATACATATATTGAGATGCGTCTAATTTTCCGCATATGTATAAATATAAGTTGAACATTTTACGTAGATTTCAGACTTATGAGATGTCAGATTACTCGGTGGGCGACACATGGGGCTGGCTGGCTGGTAGTCATGCAAACCCACCACCCCGTTATGTGCAATAATAAAGGGGCATTGCCCGAAACGTCGATGTTTTCTTTCAAGGCCACACTGTGTTATTGACGAATGTATTGGGTTTCTGGTGTGAGACAGCTGTTACACACTCACTCGCTCGCCCTGTCTGACAGATTGAACAAGTAGTTATACCCCCTCTCCCGCCACTATATCTCTCCCTCCACATACAATTGTCTTTATTATAATTTGCGACAGCTGTGATATACCAAGACAAAATATCCCCCGTATAGGGTGTTACAGACTGTTGGGACAAGTGCTGTTTGGGAGCTCCTGTGAAGAGCGGATACACCCTCACTGTGATACAAAAGACCATGATCCACCGTATAGCCTTAACAGACTGTTGGGGTAAGTGCTGTTTGCGAGCTCCTCTGAAGGCGGGCACGGCACACGAGGGGGTCGGAGGCCAGCACCACGCCCGGCCGCCTTTGTCTCCCTAGTGGAGAGGCTGAATCGACCCAGGGCAGGCCCCGAAATGGTTCAGATAATAATCGTTGGCCGTGAGCGGGATTCGAACTCGGGTGGTAGGGTTTGTAGCGCAGCGCGTTACCCACACGACACTACCGCTCCCCACTTACACGAGATGCTACACTCCCACACACGCTCATATCCTGTCCTTTCAGCCCGTGTTCCGTTGGACACATTTTCCAGATGACTCGGGATAAAGGGCACACGTGTTGGGACTTAGGGGAGTGACGCATACATCGCAAGTTTCGAGGATGTGGCGATGGATGCATCATCCGTTGGCCACATATAAGTAGGTCAGAGCAGCTTACATAATTGCCTCCCACAAGCCTGCAAGCCATTCTGTTAGTTTGGGGAGCCTCGTTTGGTTCAAGGGTCTTAACCACACTGAAGACAATTGCGTGAACAGGAACGCGGAATGGCGCGCGAGCCTCACGCGCGGAGGGGCGGGTTCACGTGGGTTAATGTGACCATACTTCCCCACGCTGGTCAGTGCGGGTTAGAGAAGACGGGGGGGGGGGGTAGCAAAGATGTTCGGAAGTGCAATGAACTTTGCCCCACTGGGGTCTGATGCCCACAACGTAGCCCCTCAGGGGCCCCATGACAAAACGCCACAGCTTTAATACTCACACATTTACCCCCCTGCGTATAACTAAAAAAAATCGCTCCTCACCAACGGCTAAACAGATTCACCTGTCACACTAATATTGCCTGCCAATCACAACCGATCGACCAGCAATCAACTCTTAATTATTACAGACCGGTTCACCTGCTTGACTGTTGGGATGCGATGGAAAAATTATCCGCCCCCCCCCCCCGACCAGCGCCCAGTCATCGCGACCGCGACGCTACGTCATTCCGCGTGAACCAATTTACTGCCCATTCATAATATAATCAACGCGCTCCACGCTGCACGCGCCCGATGATTGTTAAACGCGTCCAGTTGACGCGCTCGGCAATTAAAGCCGTGAGTTACGTGCAACACGCGTGCACACGTCTCAATCTTAATTGGCTCCAGTAACGCAGGCCGCGTCGGGCGTGTTTAACAATCATCGGGCGCGCGTTGGTTTGAATGGGGAGGTAAATTGGTAAACGGGGAAATGCGGAGCATAGGTGCTGGTGGGCCACGATGACCGGGAGTTTGAGACGAAAGAGAAGCAACGACACAACTCGGCCAAACAATTATCAAGACTCCTCATCGATGAGAATTTTATTGCATAATTTAAAAGTAGACCGTGCATTTCAACATGGGCGCCCGCGTGGTACTGCACGATGAATTTTGCCAAATTATAATTGCCGCCGCTGACGATAACAATAATGACGATCAAATGCCACTATCGACTGTCATCGAGAATAAATACGGCACGGCAGATTTACAATTCATGAACATCTCCGCACATGCCAGATGATGATGTTTAGTTTTAAACAATCATACATACACGTGGAGCCACTGGCTCCTATAGACACCCCCCCCCCCCAACTCCAGCCCCACAAACTTTGTATCCCCAACTCGAGAGGGCAGCTCACGGGACGAGGGTCACAAGGTCATCGCCGCCCCTCTCCGCTCCCCACTCTTAAAAGAGCGGTCCGCCCCCTCCTTCTCCTGCGCGTTCTCGAGACGTAAGCAGTGGCCGCGATAGTGCAACCACAACACATTAAATCAGACAGTGCACATACAGCGTTTACAACATCACCCCCCTCCCCCCCATCCACTGCACAACCGAGCCGCGCCAGGGCCGTGCCAGCGCCAGCCGTGGCGCCGCTTGAAAAGGAGGCGCCAGGGGTTTTTATTTTCCACTGTAGAAGCCGAGCCGTGCTATGCCGCTGAAGTTACACGCAGTGAACGAATCAACGTACGACTCCTCTCTCAGTCCCCGGGGGCCACATTCCGGTGTCGTATATTTTTGGCCAATGGGGGCAACACAGTTCGTTTTCGGCTCAACTTCCATAAATATCTAGTGGGGGGCAGGGGGGGGGGGGCACAGACCAGTACCGTGAGGCGCCCGCCGCCCTGGGACTGCTCGGATGTGCCAGTGGGAAAGAGCGCGGGGAGGGGGGGGGTGGGGATATCAGAGCTCGGGAGCCTACCAGAATTGAAATCGCTTCAGCCACGTCGATCTCACTCAGGAGACACGGCTGGGGACTTCATTTGGTGTAATGTTGCCCTGAAATGGGGGGGGGAGGTTCAGGGGGCAGATGGGGATGTTACGTTTGACCGCCCCCGTCTCCCCTACTGCACGATTCGATCAAGTCGCAGTTTCGATTCAACCGCTTGAGTTTCTCTTCCCCCCCCCCTCCCCCCTTGTAGTACAAACAGAAATTCCGGCGTTGTGAATTTTTGCGACTCGATTGCGTTGCGAATTGCCGGAAGACGTAGTGGTTAAAAAAAAAGATCGTTTATTTTTTATATGAATCTTATAAACAGGTTCTTACATACAGGAATCGATGGCGTCACCAGCATAAGAATCGATTTTAAATCGGCGAATCGATCACCGTTGCTTGCCAGGAATCTGGTGGCTACAAAAAAAAATTAAATTCCGTTCAAAAATAGAACATTCCTGAAACGCGCGATGCGATTATGGGGTTGCCACCTATCCTGGGGTGTCCAAGAATCTGCCTTGTGGCCCGTCCTGGAAAATCTGTTAGGTCGGGGGTCAGACGCGAGCTTGAATGCAGATATTAAAAAAAAAATATCTAATCGACGCTCATCGTTACACCTTCCGAATGCGCGTCAAACGAAAACAGAAAACGCACAGTCACTCGCCCATTACATTACGAGACAAATGGGCCGAATAATTTCCCTTCCGGAGAGGCTCCTGCAGTAAGGAGGTCGATGACGACCAGTGCCTCCAGGGGGCTCAAGTTCTCCCTCTCTCAATATTGTCCGGGTCGCGGGTAGGCCGGCGTGGTGTAGGTGGGCGCGTGACGAGCAGTCGTCGCCACCGTAAACGGAGAGGAAGTATGCTGGATGCAGTGTGCCGTCCTGTGCGGAAAATATTTGCCGACCCAGACACAAAATCGGCTGCAGTAGAAGCCCTGGGGCCCCGAGCCGGATCATCCGGATCTCGGCGTTGTGCGCGTTGAGCTGTGGTAGAGGCGCAGCGCGGCCGAAGGCCGAGTGGGTCACAAGTAGTCGGTTGAATGAGGTCAGACAGCGCTGTGTAAACGTAACGGAGACAGCGGCGGCAGAGGCGCGTGACAGCTACAGGCAAAACCATTCCCGCACGCGGTCGCAGTAGCAGCAGCGGCGGCGGCAGCGGTGAAACGCCGCGGGGAGATTGCACAGAGACGTTAAGTCCGACACTCGCTGCGATAATTAGTTGCTCCATGCTACATTATTAAGAGACGCTCGCGGCTCCGAGCCCAAAAAAAAACTCAACAAAATACAACACAAGTACCTTAAATGGAGGCGAACTCCGCCTGTTCAAGACACTGTCCGACGCGATGTCCAGGACTTTCAGAGAGGAGCGCTATAACGGACGGACACTGCATGCGAGAGCGAGCGAGCAAGCAAGCAAACCCGCGCGGCCGTCACGATGTAAATGATGACACGTCCTTTCCGACCGCGTGTGGTAACAACAGTGCGCTCAACTTAAACGTTGTATAAAGTTGCTCCGAACAAACAAAACAAAATGGGCGAATCCCATCGCCCCGGTAATTAGAAGTGCGATGAAAACGCTAAATTATGTTTCGGGGATATGTGGTGGAGGGGGTGGGGGAAGTTTAATGCCACGACATTTGCTCTGTGCAAATTAACTTCATACCCCCCCCGCCCCTCACCCTCCCCACAACAGCAGCAGGTGCCAATAGCCACCAAGTATCGGCGACATCAACAGTGCTTGTGGCAGGCTAGGTGTACACACACGTCGTCATATCTCGCAAAACCAAACAGAAAAAAACTACACACGCACACTCAGGCGTCGCTCGCACTCTCGGCACCTTCAAGAAGAAACGAGACAAACGCTTTGTTTGGAGAGGGGAAAAAAAACTCCACCGGCCACACGGCTCCATCGCCACGGTAACGGGGGCTTGATCGGTTTCTCCGAACTCCGCGGGCGGTGCCGCCGGAGCCGCACGCTAATGCCACGGTGCTCTGTCTTAGCGCAGATTTCAAGTGATACCAAACGATACATTCCACCGGGCGACTCCGCGCGTACGGGCGACCCCGCGAGTACGGGCGACCCCACGACCCCCAATACCCGCGACCCCCGCATACGGGCGACCCCGCATACCCGCGACCCCGCATACCCGCAACCCCGAGTACCGGCGACCCCGCGTACCCGCAACTCCCGTGTACCGGCGACTCCCGTGTACCCGCGACTCCCGTGTACCCGCGACTCCCGTGTACCCGCGACTCCCGTGTACCCGCGACCCCGTGTACCCGCGACCCCGTGCATGGGTGACCCCGCATACCCGCGACCCCGTGTACTGTGGGATCGCAAGGACCCATTGAGATCAGAGGCCCCCCTACAGAGCCGATAAGCAAAACGACATTGGGAAGGCCCATATCATCAGACTGTCTGGGGTAGTATCAGGGAACCCATGGGATCAAGAAACACAATGGGATAAGATGACCCTCCATCGCGATGAGGATTAAAACGAGCCGAAGACCCATCGGATCTGATTACTCATGAAACTACTGCGATATATCAAAGGAACCGTGAAATCAGGAGCAGTAGCTCCTAATGAACAGCTGGGATTAGATGCCCCTAAACAATCACGTGATCCAAACAATGAAATGGATTTAAATGATCGGGGAACCCACGGGAAAGTAAGAGCAGTTGGGGACCAGGGGGCCCCCCACTCGACCTCGGATCCACGAGTTGCTGGGAAACTCCGGCCGCCGGCACCGACGTCTGGCACAGAAGCGACCTCCGCCAGAATGCGGGTTACGAAGGCCGCCCCCAGCCACAGGAGGGCGCAGGGGCCCGACCGACGCCCAGCCACGTTTACGGACGCCGGCGCCTTGAGGCCGGGGATCACGCGATGAGGTCCAGAGCAGTGCGCCGCCACGGCCGAAGTGGCGCGGGGGATTCTCGGTTTTCAAACGAGTGTGAATTCCGAGTGCTTGGGTAGCAGCGCGAGGCAGGCATCGCTGTCGGGACTGACCGCGATGACCACGACGACGTTGATGAGGCAGACCGGCACTCGTGATTTAATTGAGTCCGTCAGGTATGCGGCGACGTGAGAACAGGAGCGAATTTCAAATTATCGGAACAAAAACCAGGGACGGAGAGACGACGACCACCGCGTCTCACACGGCGCCGCTCTCCGGCAAGTCCATCTCCCAGAACGCGTCGTCATCATCATCATCGTCGTCGTCGGAGGCCTTGCGGGAGAGCGGGATGACGACGACCGGGGACGCACCAGGCTCCTCCTCGCCAGGGCCGGCCCGCGCCTGGCCCCTTCTCCTCCAGCGGCAGGGCCGCACCAGCGCCAGGAAAGCGGCACCCAGCGCCACGCCTCCCGCCGAGGTGTAGAAGGCCATCGCGTAGTTGCGCTGCGTGGCCTCCACCAGCCAGCCTGGGGGCGCGGGGGCACAAAGGGTCAGGAGGTCAGTGCCCGGGATTTTGTTCCCGGTTGAACATTTTCTGGCCTTGTGCTCAACTCCTTATACGGGCAGTGGGTGGGGCTACCAGAATAGAGGGCGGAGCTACCTGGGGTATTGGGTGGGCCCACTCACCGTGCGAGCAGGGGCGAAGGCTCGACTGTGGCGACGGAATCACAGCGGTCACTTCGACTGCCTCTACACAATCCGAACGTCCACTCTTCCCTGTCCCGCGTTTATAGACGATACAAATCGGCATCGTGTCGAGGAGGGGTGAGCGGATGATGCTGGCGAGGAAGGCGACGGGTGGCTATGGATGGATGGGCACGGCGCTCGCGGGCAGGTCGCCCCGTACGCCCCCTGCACAAGCGTCGCGAAAGAGGGCGGGGAGGGGAGGGGGGGGGGCAAGTGAGGTTTGGCGGCACTCACCGGCGATGGGCGGGCCTGTGAGCCCGGCGAAGCTCTGCGTGAAGAAGTAAATCCCCACGCCGGAGGACATGCGGGCGACCCCGACGACGTCGTCCTCGGCCAGGAGCGGGATGTGCGTGCTCGCCACCATGCCGAACGCCAGGCCGAACAGCGCGCTGCACGCTGCCAGCCCCCAGAAGTCGCTCACCAGCGGGAAGCCCAGCAGCACCAGCGCCAGGCCGCACACAGCAGCACAGCTCCAGGTGCAGCGCCGGCAGGGGGCGGCGGCCGAACAGCGCGCCGGCCGTCACGCGGCCCCCGACCTCCGCCACGGCCATGGCGGAGAGCAGGTAGGCGGCCTGCTGCTCGGCCAGGCCCAAGCTGACGCACAGCGGCACGAGGAACATCTGCGGCGCGAAGAAGCCGAGCGTCGCGAAGAGCCCGAAGAGCGCGTAGCACACGAACTGCGGCTCGCGCAGCAGCGCAAAGTCCAGCAGCTTCGCTCGCTCGCCCGTTCCGCCCGAAGGCTTCGCCAGTTCCGAACCGCTCGGGCTCTGCCGCGACTCGCGCCGGCCATCGTCACTTTTCCCCCGCGCCGGCGGCGGGGCAGCGCCACCGAAATTGATGCCGGAGTCGCCCGAGTCGCCCGAGTCGCCCGAGTCGCCCGAGTCGACCGACCTGACGGTCTGCTCGTTCTCCAGTTTGTAGTGAGCCTCCAGCGACGACTTCTCGCCATCGTCGGCCGAGAGGTCAGCGCCGTCAACGCCGTCGTCGCCGTCGTCGCCAGCCTCCCGCCGCCGCCGCCGCCGCTCCGGCTGGGAGTGCTCGGGGAGCGGGCGCAGCAGGGCGCCGCACACGGTGATGTTGAGCTGCATGGCGCCGATGATGAGGATGGCGTTGCGCCAGCCCATGCTCTCCTTGAGCAGGTGGAAGCCTAAGGGACGAGGCGAGACGGCGCCAGCGCGCGTCAGCGAGAGCCGAGAGCGACGACGACGCAGCCGCGGTCGGGGAAGCGGGCGACCTACGGCGGTGGGAGTGCGCCCGGGGTTTACGGACGGATCAGTGCCACGCCAGAGGTAGCGCTGGGGCCTTGACAGTCATGACCGATGGGGCGAATTCGCACAGCTCGCAAAATAATTCATTTTAAATCAGAATCTTTTATTTCGACTGGATGAATCCGATGAGATGCGAAGCTCTTTTTGACACGTGTCCATTGTGGGCGGGTCAGTAAGTTACAACAGCAAACAATACAAAAACACGGTAGGAGTGCTTTAACCTTGCACCAGACGCTATGTTCCGGGTGGGATGAACCTACGGCCCTCATCATCCAGCAGTGCGTTGGCAAAAAGTGGCCGTACGTGTACACGCGTACCCCGAAGCCAGACACGGGTCGGAGGAAAGGGCACTAGCGGTGCCACCACCTCGGGGAGGCCCGAGACCGGTTCAAATAAGCACATACCTGGCGCGAAGGCGAACATGGCGAAGCACTCGCCCGTGGAGGCGACGGCCATGACGAGGGCGCGCCGGCGCTCGAAGTAGAGCGACAGCGCGGTGACGGTCGGCACAAAGCTGAGGCAGAAGCCCAGCCCTGAGCGGAGCAACGCACGGTTAGGCTAAAAGGGGCAGCCGGCACACGCAGGAGGACAGGCGGGCGCCCCGCCACCACCGCCACCGCCGCCGCCACCGCCAGGAGCGGGAGGGGGGGTGCGGGTGGTGGGGGGGGGGGCACACATAAGACACTCGATTAATGGGGGGGGCAAGGGAGAGAGCGGCGAGCGTCACGGCAACGGCGAGTCGACAGCGTCCGTCGCGCAGGTTGGTGACGGCGTGTTCTGGGTCGTCGCGATCGAATGTCGCGAGTTGGTTTTCAAGAATCTATTTTTTTTTGCTTTCGCAATTCTTGCCGTGAATTAGGGCGGCCTCTCTGTCTGTGTGGGATCGCCGTTAACCCCCTCTCGCACGTGCGCATCTTCAGTGGCTGCTCCGCTTTCCTCCCGCACGTAAATATTCACTCATTGGGGGTGTGGGGGGTGTGGGGGGTGTGGGAGGGTGGGGGGGGGGGCACGTCGTCCTCACCGCTCACGAGGCCGATGGAGACGTACATGTCCGTGATGGATCGCGCAAACGAGGCGCCCACGATTCCCGCGCACGACAGCAGCCCGCCCAGCATCACCACGGGCCGGCTGCCGAAGCGGTTGCTCAGCACCGTCGACACGGGGCCTGGCGGCACACACACAGATCCACACCCCCCGTATAGCCTTAACTGAACTGTTGGGGCAAGTGCCGCTAGCGAGCGCCTATGAAGGCCCGGCACAGCACACGGGGCGGGTGGTTGGCCAGCACTATGCCTGGCCACCTTTGTCTCCCTAGTAGCGACGTCTACACATTGCACCAGGTGATCATTTAAGGCCGAGTCGACCTAAGAGAGGCCCAGGACAGATTCAGATCATCGTCACTGGTGTTGGAATTGAACTCGGGCCACCGGCTTCGTAACGCAGCGCGCTGCTACGCTACCGCACTACAAACACACACACAGCGTCGTCAACGCCGTACCGCCAGTACGCCACCACACCCCTCCCCCGCCCCCTGCGCCCCCCCCCCCCCTCCCGCCATAGGAAAGTGGAATTCCCACCACTGGCACAGGGCTGTAATCAGGAAATGAACATTGCCTCAATGCTCATTTGATGAGGAAATCACTTTGACAACTCAAAACAATACAATGTACAGCGCCCGTGCTCAATCTCCTGTTGCCAGTTGAAGGCCTGCCCCCCCCCCCCCCACGCCCCCCACGCCGCGTCAGACATGGGGGCTGTTTGACTGGTCAGTCCTGCATGGTGCTGTATGTATGTTGAACTTCTTTCGCACCGCACGTAGCCAACCGTGCTCGTCAGATGTGCGGGCGAACGACAGCAAACTTAACACAAAAAAGCATTTCTAAAGATGATAATGATGATGATGATGTTGATACTGCTGCTGCGTATTACGCCAATGCCGATTCAGCTGATGCTGCCGATAGACGACGCAGCCGTTTCTGCTGCAGATGATGACGACGATGGTAACGCCACTGCTGCTGCCCGCTGCCGTCACCTACGACGATTGTGACGACAATCATGACGATCGATAACGCTGCTACTGCTGCTGCCGCTGATGGAACCCATCCGAGAGGCTCAACCCCGGCCCTTGCCGCCGCCGCCGCCGCCGCGTCCGAGAGCTCACCGGTGAAGGTCATGGTGAAGACGCAGATGGACATGACCCAGGAGACGGCGCTCGGCGTCGCGCTGAACTCGGCGAGCAGGTCGTTGAAGAAGACGGCGAACGCCTTGATGGTGCCGTACGACAGCGCCTCAACCACAAAGAAGGCGGCCGCCACCGCCCAGCCCCAACCGCCGTCGGGGGGGAGGGCCGCACCCACCGCCCGGCCACAACCGCCGCCGGTCGCCCTCACGCCCATGGCTTCCTCCTCTGCCGCCTCCTCCTCCTCCTCCTCCGCCGCCTCCTTGTTCTCCTCTTCCTCCTGCTCCTCCCTCGGGCCTCCCCTTCCTGGTCACCCCGCAGCTGCCCGCACTGCTGAGCAAACGACAAAGGGCGCAGGTTCCCCGTATAGCCTCTAACAGGATGTCGGGGGACAAGTGCTGTTAAGCGAGCAGCAGCAGCAGCGCCTACGGAGGCCGGCACGGGCACACGGTGGGGATGGGCGGCCAGCACCGTGCCCGGCCGCTGTCCGTCTCCCCAGCGGCGAGGTTTTACCGTTCTGCCACCCATGCACCATGTCCCTACAGCTCCGCGGCAATATTGTGCCACCCATGCACTACTGTCCACCCCTCCCCGCACGTCCTCCGCACATCGATACAAATGTCTCCGTTCACCTTGGGACAGAACCTCCTGTACTAAACATCCCCCCCCCCCGCCCCGACCTCTTCCCTCCCTACTTCCTTCCCACCCGCCCCCCATTCCCTCCATCCACCCCTCTCCGAACAATGTTCGTCCATTCACCCCCTGCGCACATCTCCCATTCATCAAACCCCTCCCCTCTCCCGGCACGGCGTGCCCCGTCGCAACGCGCCACCATGCGCAGCCCTGCCGCCAATCCGCTGCCGGATGACGGTCTCCGCCACGCCGTGATGACGAAGCTGCTGATGCTGCTGCTGCCGCCGCTGCGTCGGCACTATCGCACGTGCACCGCCCGCAGAAAATGCAATTCGACGCTAATACTGTGGGGGAGGGGGTGGGCCTCGAAAGAAAGAATATAAAAATGCCATCGGCGACGTTTCGAGCAATGGCCCTTCTTCAGGAGCACGTACATAGAGAGGCCAAGAAGGCAGAGTGGATAATCAGGCACTGGAGTCTGCACCTGCTTACACCACGATGGGGTAGCAGACAAACCCCATTCAATAATCACAACGTATTGCTACTAAGTAAACCAATGTTATATTAAAAGTGAAATTATTGAATGCCGCTGGCACATTGTGGGGAGATTTGTTAAAGTCACTTCGCAATGCATTCCTGGGCCCCCAACGTGGTGGTGGCGGTGGTGGTGGCTGCGGGACTGTACAGCACATGCATATCTAAAACCCAAAAAATTTCACTGGGATCAATTTAGAACAATTGGGGAATTAATTTGGCGTTATTCTTTTTATTATTGTCGCAGTAAATTAAGCACAGTTATAGGAATATAGCAATACGGGGTGGTGTACAATAATACCGATGATTATGATTGTTATGGCTAGAACCTTGGCTCTAAAACGGCCGAACGGCCTTTTGGAAAATACCGAGCGAGCGGGTAATCAAAGCCCCATTTCATTGTACTGCACTGGCCCAGCGTGCGATCAGAACGATGAGGAGTGGGGGCTCTTGGCCCGTCTTGCAACTCCCAACAGCGAGGCCGGGTCTGACCACGGACCGCCGTCCACGTCTGCCGTGACCTCACGATCCGCGCAACCGCACCCCGGCCAGGAATAGCGGCGCGAGACGGGAGAAACACGAGCGCGCCAACGCCGGTGTATCGCTACTCTGGCCGCTGCCGCTGATGCTGCCGCGCGGGATTCAACAGTCGCGATTGCGTGGCGCGGCTCTCTCCATACGCGCTTCGCGGTTGTGCAGCTTGTGTAGTTCGATACGATGTACGACGTTTCGCTCCACGGTGCCGCCCGCGGGCCGCTGGCTGCCCCCGGCACCGAGTTAATCTCCTGTTGCGGAACGCGACTACCGTAATCGCGCGGGAGTGAAACCAGACTCAACCCGGAGTGAAACCAGAGAGAAACAGAGCCACCCCCTCTCTGGGGAGGCGGTGAGAACAACTTTACAGGGCTTGGCACCTCAGCTCCCCTCCCACTAGGGTCATCATTCTATCGCACCCCTCCCATCGAGGAGGGGGTGGTGGGGGTCTGCCGCTGAACGCGCGTCGATAGCCGTATGTGCGGCCAATTTAACGGCTTCATGCAATCGTTCGTGCCGCCCTCATAGCGCCCTTGCACTACCGCTCTGCCACCCATGCCCCATCCCTATAGCGCCACCATAGGGATGGTGCGACGTTACGGTGTTCCGCCGGCGCCAAAAAGTCTGACGTCGGTGGACGTGCTGACACCATCTCGCGCTACCCTCTCGGCACCAAAGGAGGATTTCCTCACTCTGGTTTGTGCCTCGCCCTCTCACGTTTGGGTAAAAAAAAAAATTTGCCCACAATTATTTGGCAGAGGTGCACAGGCACAAACAACGAAAGTCAACTCGACACGTTGGTAAAAAAACAACTGTGCGGTCTTCAAATGAAAAATATATATCGTATTAGGTGACAAATTAGGCAAATGCCCTTCTTAAATCGCACAAATAGAAAGGCCAGAGAGATGGACTGGATAATAAGAGTTGAACTTGACACCATGGGGAGGGAGGGGTGGGGGAAAGGTCAGATGGGAATCACATTTCAAAAATATTTTCTGATGACCACTTTTTGAATCGGAATGCCAATGGTTAGGAACGGAATTGAGGTGCTAAACTCTTTGAGTTTCCTGAAGGAGCTCCCAGCGCATGGATCGAAACGTCGGCCACCACGCCGAACAACACGTGGCGGCCCCAACATGTTGGACGGCCGCGTGGCACGGCTACGGAGGAACCGTCGCGGCGGTGAAAATAAACGATCGGTTGCCGGGTGTTCAGAACCCGGCCGCCGGTTACTACCCGGTGTCAAATGTTTGCCCTGCGGTTGAGTGAACCAACGGCGAAGGGCTCGCCAAGAAACCACGAGCGCGGTGGACTCTGTCCCACAGCTTTGAACAATCGCAGGAGCTCAGCGACCAACCCCAACAGTTGAACTAGCACCAATACGAACATGAACGCCAGCCACAGCCCTAACCACAAATCCGAACTCCAAACCTTAAATCCATAATTCTAATGCTTACCCCTACCCCCAACCCCAAACTTTAACCCCAATACGACCATGAACGCCAACTATGAGCACAACCCCAAACCCTAAAGCCAACTATTCACCTCAAACCCTAATACTAATCCTAACTCAAGGCTTAATTTCAGACAGGTTGTATCCGGAACGGCTGTGGCCTCTCCTTGCCACGTGCCACCCACCCTCAGCACACACCGCAACCCGGGGAGAACATCGGGCGAGAACGTAACCCCCTGGGACAAGGCACGGGCATCACGCGACGGACACGGTGGTGTCGTGCGCACCACGGGGGAGGGGTGGGGGGCTGCGGGGGCGGGAAGCTGACTCGGCACGTGGTAAGCACAGGAATAGTGTCCCGCAAATCCAAAGGGCACTTTGTGTCGAAAAATAACCTCGAATAAATAAATAACGAGTTGGAGCTGTCCGTAAGAAAAGGTTGTTTTTCAAATTCCACCACGTCTTGCCCAGCGTGGCAGAGCAGTTCCAGAATTCACGATCGCTCTACAGCGGTGACGTGGAGCTAGCAATTGCAGACGCCTCACCTTTTGTCTTTTATCTCGTCTTTACGAACGTAAAAAGCACACTTGGGTTTTACGGCCTCCGCTGATCATCGCGCGCGCCATGAGTTTGGGCCGTTTGGGCCGTTTGGGCCACGTGTCCCCCCCCCCCCCCCCCAGCATCTGTAGGGCTCAGCGACTCCGGGTGGGACATTGGACGGCGGACGTGCGGTGATTGCCGGCGCAATTGTTTACTTTTATCCATGGAAACTCCGCTCTGTGCTGCAGCCCTTCATATATAAATAAAATAAAATTTTACTCCGTCATCCTACCTATTGGCTGTCCATGATGGGCATTACTCTCATCGCCAAGAATGAAGCACAAATGTATTTTTAAGCAAGCAAACTCGGTAACAGTTTCAACCTTACGTGCCTCAAGAGCAAAGCGTTAGGCTTGTTAAACAGTTGCTGCTGGGATACCAGATCTTCTGGGCAAGAGCACTCCGTATAAACTATGGGACACCGTTAGACAGACATAGCAATCATTATCATCATCAGCAGTGGTCAATCCACTGCTGGATGAAGGCCTCCCCAATCACTCAAGATCTTACGACGTCACGATCCACCTGCAGTACCCGCGCATGATGTCATCGGCCCGCGTCTTATTACTTAATCCACATGGTGTTTCTCTTTCAAACCTCTCACAAAGTGAAATCCAAATAGCGACACCGTACTACCAGGCCCCCCCGCCAACCCCCCCCCCCCCCCCACGGTGCTAATGGCTTGTAATGCGTGGTATGCCTGGCCCTAATGGGGTAATAAGTGACCAGTTTTTTCCTGATGCGGTTGCCTCATCTCTGTGCCTGCCAGCGCTGGACCCCACGACGCCGCAACGAACGCCCAAGTCAGCGGGCGCTGCAAAAGGTCAAGGTTAAAAGGTCACCCCGTCAACACCTCTACTGTCACCGCGCCCTCCCCCGCTGCCAGACTTCACAGTTGCTGCGCGGTCGATGCCCGACCTCCCAACATGTGGGATTCGACCCCTTACCGATTATGGGGTCGACGCACCTTTAAAGGGGCGCCGCTCTTACGCTGACAAATGAAGTGATGACAGCGTGCAAGTAATCGTACAATCCTGATTGGCCAAGGCGATCATCATGAAGGCCCTGTGCTTCACAGACGGGTATAGTCTGTGGTTAGTTTCACAGCAGGTAGGGAGACCATGTTGCTGTGCCAGTTTGAAGCGTCCATTTGAGCAATTTTTCCAACTTGGGAAAATTCGGACCGCGACCCCGGCACGAGCGGCCCGTTCTCTCAAAAAAGGTCACGGCCGCTGTCGGGGTCGCCATGCGTCCCCGCTTGACCTGGGCAGCCATAGTGAGCCGCATCTGTTTTACCAATCTGCTGGTTGCCGGTATTGTGCCGGGCTTTATTACGGCGCACCGCAGTTTTGAGGACAGACCTGGTCCCCGACTGAGAAAGACATCCGGGTTTGGTCTCCACTGGGAAACCACCGTAAAGCTGGCGACTCGGATTTACTATGAACACACCTGCAGCATTAACCAGGGCGGCCACTGGGTTTCCGAACCAGCAAACGATAAAAACGCGCGACTGCCGTGTCACCTGCAGAATCATCGCCACCACCCTGGGTGTGGATCTCACCATTGCCTTACAATCGGC